TAAGTAAGGACCTGATTGTACTCTTCAGATCACCTGGGAAACAACAAGAATGAACCCCCATTATTTTATTAGAATCAACATACCCTTTGCTTCTTGCAGATATCCCAAGTTTAAATGTTATCAGAGTAGATCTCTGGAGGCATTTGGAAACAGGTCCGCTGCACTCCATGACCTCAAGGAAGGAATGATCTTTCTTTTTCTTAATTTAAATTATTAATTTTTTTATTATAATGTTTGAAGTTTTTGTTTTCATTCCGGTATAGTTAACATGCAGTGTCATATTAGTATCAGATATACCATATAGTGACTGATTGAACAATTCTTTTTTTTTTTTGAAGTTTTTATTTTAATTCAGGAAGGAATGATCTTAATGGCCCCGCTTCCCTGCAGGATATTTTAGTAAGAAGCAGCGGCTATGTAGACTCAAGACAGCGGTTTAACGGCCTGTTTTGTCTGTCTCATCTCAAGTACTGATCACACAGTTCCCACTCAGCTGCTCCTAATTTTTTCAAGGTCTGTTTATTTCATTTTTGGTTTCCATAACCAACCTCTCCATTCCCTGCGGGCCAGGGTCTAAATTTTTACAAATGACAAGGAGGTTACTTTCCAAATATTACGATTCTGACCTGGTAGCAGGATTACATTTTCCCATGGTAGTGATGAGGAGAGTTGTCTGAATTCCCGGATCTGGCTACCGACACACGAGCAAAAGCACGAGGAACGAAGCCCATCGTACAAACTGTGTGTGACAGAGGCCATGGGAGGACACAGGGGTGTTCTCTGCTGTGCTTGGTTTTTGTCCTCCAGGGGCCCCTCCTTGGAAGGTGTCCACCTGTAGGGCCCAGCCCTACACTCCACTGGCAGGGAGCCCTGGCAGACCCAGCAGGCCCTGCCCCAAACAGTGAAACCCAGAACTGGGGACCAGCAGCCCTTTTTAATTCCTCAGGGTTCCCTTAGGAGATTCTAATGCACAGCCATTGTACCAGAGGGAATTCTCTCGTCTTTTAAGTTAAAATATAACGGAGACTAAGGTTTACACTCCAGGTGTGCCCTTTATCAATTCTGTTCCCTTGGCTTTCCGTTTGCCTGCTCAGAGCCTGACTTCCTCATCCCCCCGGGGGGGGGGGGGGACTCCGGACCCCACAGGCTTGCTGTGAGCATCCATCCGCCCTGAGCTGGAGCCACAGCCCTACCCCACGCCCCACGCCCGCCCGGGGCTGGCTCCAGCTGTGGGAAGAGGCCAGCAGGTTTAACTCAACTGCACTCACTTTCAGTAAAAGCCCAGGGAGGCTGGGAGGTGGTTCTTAGGATGCACTGGCTACAGCTCGCCCTCCCCGGTAACTTGTGGAAGATGCCGCATCCAGCTCCTCCATCCCTGCCTTCCAGAAGGTCCTCTCCTCCCCAGGGGGCTCTGGCAGTGCCGAGGGGACACCCAGTGCTGCAGGTGACCGGCTCCTTCTCAGGTGAGCACAGGTTCACCCCAAGAGGCCGGGGTGCGAGTCAGGCGCTGAGGCTGGTGTGAAGGTGTTGCGGGCCACCCATGACAGGTCTCCTGGGCGTCCCCTCCGGATCACGTGTACTTGTCAACAGTTTCCTCCTGTCATTGCTTACATTGGCTAGAAACCACCCCCCCCCATTTATCGTGCCTTTAGGAGCGACCCCCTGGAGCTGTGTCCTTATAAAGAAGGGGTGCTCAGGAGGGCGAAGGCCTGACGTCGGGTATTAATCATGCCGGTCCCCAGTGATCGTGCTGGTGTGGTTGAAGCGTTTGGGGTTAATTTCCCCGGGACAGTGGCCGCCGAGCGAGTCCTAGAATCCTGGGGTCTGGCCGAAGGGCCCGCGAGCAGCTGGGCCTCTCCCTCCCGCTACGTGCGCTGCGGACCGGCCGCGGAGACGCGCGCACCTCTGCGCGCACAGGCGCTAAGGCCCCACACGTGTGCCCTTGTCCCATAGCGCGCGCGGGCGTGGGGCGCTCTCCCAGCGAGAAGGGGAGTGGGTGGGCTTTCCGGAGGTTAGGAGCCCCGTCTCGAGGTCGCATCCAGCAGTCCTGGGGGAGCTGTGGGTTGTGCTGTGTAGCGGGCCCTGAGGTTCAAGGAGGAGCATCCGGGGGGCGGGGCCAAGCAGGTAGGCGTTCCCAGGTGGAAAATCTCTCCCTGCAGATTGGCCTGCAGGTCCCGTAGGACCCGGAGCAGGAACGTGGGCGAATTCGTGCTTTTGGAGGCTGATACGGTCGACCTCCGGCTAGTGCCGGGACAGGGCAGCCGCGTGGGACCACGTTTCTACGGGGGTCCCGTGGCTGGCTCCAGCGGGCAGGCAAGGGGAAAGGACGCAGGGCAGCTTTTACTTTTTAAGATGTTATTTCTGGGGCACCAGGGTGGCTCAGTCAGTTAAGAGTCCGACTCTTGGTTTTGGAGCAGGTCAGGATCTCAGCCCTGGGTAGGGCTCTATGCGCAGCACGAAGTCGGCTTCGGATTTTCTCTGTCCCTCTGCCCCTCCTCTGGATCACTCTCTTTGTCTAAAATAAATAAAATCTTAAAAAAAAAAAGATTTTATTTCTAAGTAATCTCTGCACCCAAGGTGAGGCTTGAACTCACAACCCGGAGACCTGGAGTCACATGCTGCTCGGGGTGAGCCAGCCAGGACCCCCTGATTTTTTTTTTAAGGACTTCATTTTTTGGAGCAGTTTTGTTTCATAGCAAAATTGAGTGGAAGGTGCAAAGAGTGCCCGTATCTCCCTGCCACACAGGTGCACAGCTCTCCCCACGTCCCCGCCTTGTGGCACGTGGGTTACAGACAAGGAACCTGCACTGACTCCCCATCCTCCCCCAAAGCCCATGGTTTCCACCAGAGTCCCTGCTGGTGGTATGTGTCCTCTGGGTTTGGACAGATGTGGAATGACCGCATCCACCCATGGAGCATCAGAGAGAATAGCATCACTACCTTTCCGGTCGCCCCAAGCCCCTGGTAACCCTGATGTTTTTACTGTCTCCATAGTTGTGCCTTTTCCAAAATCTTTTTTTTTTTAACAAGAAGAATGTAATTATAAATTATTTGTGTAATTGCTAACCAAAGAGAAAAAGCCGCTTCAAGTCCTTCTGGCCATGGTGTGGATAACATTAGAGGGACATGGCAGGATTCGGGGCAAAGGTCAGGAGAAACATCAGTTTTACAGGCAGGGGCTGGGGAGGGCATGTGTACTGGGCGTGAGTCACAGCGAGCCATACCTGCAGCAAGGTATGTCCAAACATGGGCAGAAGGTGGGGGCATGAGGGGGGAACAGGGGTCCATCTCGTCTTTTTCTTTGTAAGATTTTATTTATTTATTTGACAGAGGGAGACACAGCAAGAGAGGGAACACAAGCAGGGGGAGGGGCAGAGGGAGAAGCAGGCTTCCCACTGAGCAAAGAGCTCGACATGGAGCTCGATCCCAGGACCCTGGGATCATGACCTGAGCCGAAGGCAGGCGCTTAATGACAGCCACCCAGGCACCCCCATCGCGTCTTGATATATGGAGTTTGTGGGGTCTGGAGGGACAAACACCTGTTAATCAGTAGGTCGTTCAAATTCTTCATGACATAAGCGAGGTTTGAACATGAAGTAGTGAGACTCCAGATACACACATGTCCACGTCCATGTAGATTTTATCCATGTGTGAGCTGTGGTCTGACTTCTAAGGTCCACAGCTTGTCCAGCTATGGGCCTATGGCAGCCCTTCACACTCGGCACCTTCGAGAGCCAACGGCCTTATTCTCGCATCTCAGAGGAGGGTCAGTGTGACATGAACGTTTCTACCCATCTTCTGAGCAGCTTTACCATTCCTGTACACACGAACTGAGTCTCTGTGTCTGTTAACGCCCCTGGGAGCCACGGCGCCTTCCATGTGCCGTTCCCAGGAGTGGCCTTTACTTCATGGCCGGTGTTCTCAGCATCTTCAATCCCGACGTTGGTTTCTGAAATGTAAACTTGTGGAGAAGGCAGACTGGAGCTGTCGGTTGGGTGTGCTCAGGGAGTTTGGCTGGGAGCCCCGGGGGCTGTGCACTGGAGGCTGGGCACTGTGTCCTTGCCCAGTCCCTGGCCCCGCCCCTGTCCTCATGGGCCTAACTCTTAGCCACGGTGATGACACAGGATTCTGCAGGGGTGCAGTCCAGACCTTTTCACTTAGGTCTCCACAGTGGTTACATGGCCCAGATGTGCTGCTCAGAAGTGCAGCTCCTGGGGAGAGCACATGGGAGTGTGGCAGACACACGAGACCGTGTTGCACGAAGCTGCTTTAAGGGGCGCCTGGGTGGCTCAGTGGGTTAAGCGTCTGCCTTGGGCTCGGGTCAGGACCTCAGGGTCCTGGGATCAAGCCCCGCACTGGGCTCCCTGCTCAGTGGGGAGCCTGCTTCTCCCTCTGCCCTTCCCCCCCACTCATGCTCTTTTTTGCTCACTCTCTCTCTCAAATAAATAAATCTTTAAAAAAAAATGCCACTTTTAATCCCCTTTAAGTAACAGCCCCTGGGAAAGTGTGGAAAATGTCCTAGATTTATCTTGAGTAGGTATTATTTATAGTATATTGGTTTAATTTTTCTTTTACTAAAACAGCATGACTGATTTTGAATGTAAGGCCATTGACTAAAAAATTGTTTTCCCCAGTAGCTGCTAATGAAATCATGTATTTTTCTTTCATCTCCTCCTCAAATCACTGAAATGGTCCTTTTCCATATAAATTTGAGTTAGGCTAACTGCACATGAACACCCCTCCCCTTTGGTGTCTAGTGAGCGGGCCGTGTTGCCTACAGCCCCCCCCCCGACTCTAAGGTACCCGGGGCTCTCTCACGATGACATGCGGCAGGCTGACATTGACCCCGGAGGGATGCGCCAGGCCCGTCCTCCACGTGAGGAGCCTTCTGGAGCCTTTCTATGCCGGCTCGCGGTTCACCCCTGGGCCCAGCAGGTCCAATGTTAGCGCCAGAATCGCCCGAGCCTGGTCACTGATTCCTGTCCCTGTTCCTTCCGCAGGTATGAACGCCGCTGTCCGTGCCGTGGTGCGCATGGGAATATACGTGGGGGCCAAAGTGTACTTTATCTATGAGGTCAGTGTTGCGTCTCCCTCGTGCTTTCTCTGACTCAGGGACCTGTGCCTCGTGCCTTCCTCAGGCGCTGCTGATCCTGATGTGCATGCCCAGGCCAGGCCAGGGCCCCGCAGGGATGCGGGGCAGGGGTGGCGCTCCCTGGTCTAGGTACAGGTCTGTGAGATCTGTGGCAGGGAGGGCTCGGGGCGGGGAGAGCCCACGGGGCGCAAAATGGTCTCATGGGATTAATGTATTTATTTGTAGCCCTTCTTCCCTAAAGAGGAGATATATTCATTTAATATGGGGGTGAATTTGAATAAGTGTTGAGGTCTGTGGGAGAAAACAGCCACTTTAAGCTCTTCCTCCTTACCGTAGAACCCAGACCGCCTCCCTAACCACTGTTTATGTGTTAACTTCGAAACCAAGCGCCTGAAACAAGAGGACAGCCCTGGCCCATTAGCTCCTGGGGTCCTGACCACGGAGAAGTAAGCCAGGTTCGGAGGGAAGGTGCCAGTGTAGTTTGGACCGTGCTAGTTATTTCAAAAACTATCAGGAAAAAATATTTATATTTACTTTTTAAATTTATGAAATCTCATAAAGCTGAAAACACAGAAAGAAGAGCATATGTTTTTTAAATGGCTTGATTCCTGCAAAACCACCGTTGGTATTTTGTATTCTGATTCTTCCTGGGCGCCTGTGTGCAGCACCGACCCAAACCCCCACTCCCGCCTGCCCTCCGGGAGCCGACTGTTACTGTTCAGGTCCTTTTCTCCTTCTGGGAAGTGGCTGTTCATAAGCCTGTGCTCCCTGCGCCACATAATGGTTTGTGTATTGTTTGCTGGAAAGAGGGTTTTTTTTTTTTTTTGCCCCGGGGCTTTGGTGTGCTTTTCCGAGCTGTGGTTCTGTGAGTTTGGGGTTTGCATTTATCTGGTTTGGGTGATATTAACACGATGGGCCCAACCAAAGCTCTCCCAGACTATTGTTTGGTCTTGTTCTGTTTGCAGCTCTTTGGGGTCACGTTGTGCCCTTGAGTGTCGGCCCTGGGCTGAGGCGCTGGCCACCAGCTGCCCCTCACCAGCACGGACAGAGTGCCAGGCTCCCCAGGCTCCCTGCCCATCCCCTCCATTCGACGTCCAGTGTCCTACAGGTGTCCATTCGTGTGTGCGTTCCTGCTACTTCTGGAGACTGCACGCACACAGACCTCCCTGCCTTTTTATCTTATCTTATTCCATTTGTGGGAGGGGTTGCCTTCTGCCTCAGGGCTGAGAGAGACCAGCACCCCCTGGCCTGACCACAGGTCCTCTGTGAACCTGGTTTTAAAAATCTTCTAGGGGTTGGGGCACCCTCAGATCAGAAGATTAGAATCTTCTGTTGTAATTAACAGTGTGTTTTCAGATCTGCCGAAGACGGATCTGCCTGGACCCCCTGGCTTACAGCGTGCCCTGCAGCGGGTGTCATCCTGGTCGGGGGCGCTGCAGTGGTGTACGGGCTGAGCTTCTGTCGCCAGCCCCCCCTGGCTCTTTGAGGTCACAGCGGTTGTGGGAGGGAAGGGAAGGAAGTCATATCCGGTATTTCATAGTGAAAGAAACTGACCCGTGTTTCTTTAGAAAAAGAAAGTTTGCTTTTTCCATGTCTTTTGTCACCGGCAGGGCTGGGGAGAAAGCTCCTATGCCCCATCAAACCAGTAACAGGGCTGGGATCTACCCCCCAGGGGCGTGGATGTCTGGAGGCGTTTTTTGACTGTCCCATTATCAGGGGTGGGAGTGGTGCTCCCGGCCTCTCACGCATGGAGAGCAGGGATGCTGCTCAGCAGCCTGATGCCCAGAACGGCTCGGACAAGGAATCCGTGATCTGGCCCACAGTGCCCACAGTGCCAAGGTCTGGAAGCCCCGCATTGAACCAAGGGCTGGACGTGTCCTTGGCGTGAGTGTCGTGGACAGCAGGGTGGGCCTGTGCGCATGCGGAATCTTTGGGTGTGGAAACTGACATAGGAACTGTCGATGTTAATCCTTCAGATTTAAGACTTATGTTCCTGTTGGTTTTATTGGCTCTGTATTCTGGGAGTTTTAGATAGGATGTTTAGTGGGACCTCTGTTGCCAGATTGCACACATTTCCAGTTGAGGAACTGACCAGGAACATAGCAGCTATGCCCACACCTAAGGACGTTGGGGCTTCCTTAGGAGAAGAGCATCTTGGATTTTCTTCGGAGGAATCCTGACCTAGGAAACCAGATGCCTCCATCCCATTGTCTGGTGGGAGAGGTGGCCTGCTCTCCGTGGCCTGCTCTCCGCCTGGCCACTTTTTTTCTTTTAAAGATTTTATTTATTTATTTGCCAGCGTGAGCGTACAAGCAGGGGGAGCGGCAATGGGAGAGGGAGAAGCAGGCTCCCCGCTGAGCAGGGAGCCCGATGTGGGGCTCGATCCCAGGACCCTGGGACCATGACCCGAGCCGAGGGCAGACGCTTAACCGACTGAGCCACCCAGGCGCCCCCCTCCTGCCCACTTGAGGAGCCATGTTCTTCACGCCCTCTCTGAAAGGTGGGGTGGGCTTGTATCCTGCCCCTTCCCGCCCACAGGTGGGCAGCGAGGAGTCCTGACTCTGAATGGATCCCATGTCTTTCAGGGAAATGCAGGGGATTTGTGCACTTTCTCCATCAGGAAGAGCCAGAGAGAATCCGGGCTTAGGGTAGTGAGTGTCAGGACGACTGTATTTTCGTAATAACTGGTTTACTGGTAGTTGGGTCTTGGGTGGAGGATAAAGCGTACGTGGGGAGAAGAGCAGAGGCTCCAGGAGCCAGGACAGTCCGCCCGCGAGTCCTGGAGACGGGAAGCAGACAGGAGCAGCCTGCAGCTGGACTCACACGGACTGAAGTCATCGGTCTGGAGAGTGGACCCTGCTTCTCACGACACCCCTCCCCCCGCCCCAGAAAAGAGAAATTGTAGGGAACCAGGGCTGTTCTTTACAGCTGAATGGGGGGTGGTCTTGGGCTTACTGGAGACCAAGCCCTCGGCCAGCCTCAGACCCTCGGGCTTTGCCCTGGGAGACAGTGTGGAGTGCACCAGTTTGGGGGTAACATCAGCTCTTCGGGACAGATGTCGACAACCCTGTCTCTGAAATCGAAGCCTCTCTAAAATCTGCCAGTTTTTCTTGACTCATCTGTACCCTCCTAGTGTGACTGCCTCTAAGACGGGGCCAGGGGGCACCGGCCAGGACCACCCCGTGCCCCACAGTCGTGCCGGGTTTGTCTCCAGATGTGGGCACTTGTCCCCTGGGGGGGGCAAACTCACCCCTGTCGGGGATGCCCATCCGAGACCTGTTTGGACTCAAATTGAGAAGATGGTTGGTTTTGTTTTTTAAAACCTCGTTCAGCAACCTGTCCCACATGTGTGTTCGTTTGTGGTCCAGTTTCTAAGCTTGCCTAGAGCTTTCAAGGTTGCCAGCACACCTAAACAGTTAAACAGGTTAGTGTCATGTAAACAAAGGGTTTTGGGTTTTTTCCTTAGCAGAAAGTGTGGGAAGCGGATTGATTGGAGAACACTGACATTTCTGCCGAGGGCCTGGCACCGGCTTCGTGCTGTCTGGCTGGCAGCTGGGGAGGGCTATAAATCTGGGCCAGGTCTACGTGTGGTGCATGACGAGCCCAAGGGCGCCATCTGGGGAGGTTGGGGCGGGTGGTGGATTAACCCATTCTTTCCACCTATGGAGCCAGTTTTTTTTTTTTTTTCTTCCCTTTCTAGGCTAGGGTTTTTCCTTAGACACCTACAAATGTCTTTAGCAGCTTGGGGATGGTGATGGCAAGGACATCACATGGTTTTTCAAGACCATGCTCAGTAGACCACCCTGCCTTCAGGTGGACCAGGGGGAGGAGATATGTTCTCTGTTCCTGTGGTCTTGGTCGCAGAGACAGGCTAGTCCTATTTCATGCAATCTGTGGGCTCAAAATCCTATGAGCTGAAGGTTTTCCTGCAGATTGACAAAAATTACAGCTCTTTAAATAGGACTCACTTAAAAAGTGTTTCCTCTCTATAATAACACTTCCCCATTGGGCATGCTCATGCCGACATGTAAATCTCCACAGGGCCCATCTCCCTGCTTTCTGAGGCTCGAAGAAAGGCTGGAGTGGTGCCCATCACATTCAGCAGCCGATCGGGTTAAAAACAAGTATCTCTGCGCGTGCTGGTCAGGACTTCCTACTGAGGGGGCCTCAGAGCAGCTCAGAGCACTGTTCTAGCCTCACCAGCTTCCGGCTGCAGGTGCAGGGTCTGGCCTTGCCCCAGAGGCCCAGGGAGGCTTTCTCTCTCACAGAGAGAGCTCAGCGGGCTGGGGCCCTGGGCATCAGGGCTGACTTAATCCTCGGATAAACAAGCTTTAATAATGTGTCTGCTAATAGATTAATATCATTTTCCCCTTCCAAACATAAACCCTGTTTGCCACAGGGCACATGACTTCTCGGATCTGATGAGCTGCCTGCTTTCGCAGTTTTGGGAAAGTCAGAAATGGCATGCTTGTGGCAGAAACACAGACAACCCAAACCTCACATTTCCCAACGGAGGCCGGGCAGGCCTTTCCAGACGTGGTGGTTCCCCGCCTTGGCCTGACCTCCCGTCGGGGCCGGGCTCTGGGCTTCCCCGCGTGTCGTGTGAGGCGGACGCTGCCTGAGCAGCTGGATGCCACCCAACGGCAGGAGAGTGGGCCTGGGTGCCGGGGTGGCCTCTGCGGGGCGTGTCTGGTTTGTGATCCCTGCCCTGACCCATCCCGTCTCTGCCTCCCCCTGCCCCCAAGTGCCAGGAAGGCTGGGCAGGGTGAGGAGGTTTTACACACAACTCTTCCTGCACCTTCACTTCCTTAAAGTCAGAGCTGCTTCACCACAAAACGTCTGTCTGAAAATAGTACTAGGATGCCCGCACGTGCAGTGAAGTGTATCAGTCTGCAGGTGACCGGGAGGGGTAGACTGCCAAGCTGGAGCAGGTCTGCCCTTTGGCCAGCGTGCAGCACACGAGCGGGCCCGTGGCTGGTGCATGGACCCCAGCCATGCTCGCCCTGAGCACCTGCTCTGTGACCGGTCCTCCTGCCGTCCCCATGGTGCCCTGGGCTTTTCACAGGCTCGTGCTAGTTACTGTTTCAGCGTTTTAATCACAAAAGGATGGTCTCCTTCACCGCCTGCGCCCCTCCTGTGTGTTATCACTGTGTGGCTGGGTGAGGGGCTGTCTGAGAGGTAGCTAGCAGGCTCTCTGACCTGGAGGAGGCACACCTGCTGCGTCCTGCTTTGGGTTTTATAACTTACCCAGAACTGGGGATTAGCAGCTTTGGCGTCAAGAAATCTGATAATGCTGGATGGCTAATAAATCAATCCACTGGTCTCTGTTGCCAGGTTTCCATAAGCATGAAGTGCTTGACCTTGCACGTTCTGACCTATTTTAGAAGGTCAGAGTTTGACCACCTCTCGCCAGAGACACGTGCAAAGGTGATTTGCAGGCATTGTCCCCGAAGTCATGGGCTCCTTGAGCTGGGGTGGCTGTCAGGCCCTCCAGGCCAGGGCATCTGTGCCCCAAAGGGTCCTGGTGGGGGCCGAGCGGGGGCGGGAAGGACTGCAGTGAACGTCCTGTAGCAGAATAGAGTCATGATTCCTGAACTTTGAAAACCGCTGCCCACCCAGAGGACCTCTGCCCACCTCTCTCATGCCCACCTAGTCTTGCACAATGGCATTTACCAACTCCAACGCTTGAGCAGTTCAGAGCTGACCTGTCTATGTGCTTGCCCTCAAGGTCTGTAAGCGAAATGCTTTAACTTACTAAGAAATAAGCCAGGAAGACAAAAATATGTATTTACTCAAGGCAGCAAAGCATGGGTAGAGGTCTGTGGTGTTGGTCACCAGGATATCTAGAAAATACTTTTGAAGGATGCTATCTTTGGTAGACTGTTTCCGCTGGTAGTTGGAGTGTTTGCCACTCAGACAGTGAGTTGTTGACCCAGTAATTCAGGAAATCAGATGCAGGAAAAACCATTATCAAGTTGAGAAGACAGGTGCACTCATCAAACATACGTGTTCAAGGGGAAAAGCCCACTTGGCCATATAGCGTGGGACTGGGATTTCCCTCTGGGTCTTTAATTTAAAAACCATATGTAGTATGAGATCTATTATAAGAGAAAGCCACCGCAGTGCACTAGCTCTGACTCTCCTCGGAACGGATTTAACAGGTGCCCAAAAACGCAGGTCACAGTGACCTCTGGATGCAGCACTGTCTCTAGAGGAACAAACTGGGGACTATGCTGACTTTGCCCGTTGCTCAGAACCGTTTCAAACAAGAAGTCAAGCTGATTTCAGAGTCTGTGGCACGTTCCCAGATGTCACTGAACGGATGGTGCACTTGACGGTCTCCTGGGCTCATCGTGGGAATGAGGATCAACAAGGCGGGCAGTGTTACTCGGGGTTAAAAACTAAGTGTGGCTTTGAAGGGTTTTCTGTGGATTTTATTCCCGTGCGAGTCATCGAACTGGCTCTGAAGGCAAATTCCAAGGAGAAGTTCGGAAAATATTTTGGGCTCTGGCTGTATTGGGATAAAGTACTCAAGGCTCCAAAGAGACTTCCACAGAAAACAGTGCATCCGAATTTATAAATTACAGTACATTTGTGTAAAATCAGTCTTCTTAATTTAGTAACCACTTCCTTGTAAGCGAAAGACTGCTAAAAATTGCAGTTGGGAGATCTTTTCGAGGGTTGCACGAGCTCCATGAGTCTGCAGATGGAGGGTGAGTCACTTCCTGCCGCGCCCAGGCGTGCGGTCAGGAGCGCACTGTGGATGCACTAATCACAAAAATCCCTTTATCGCTTGCTGTCCCAGGGTCTCTATGCCGCATGACATAAAGTATCTTTGGAGAACATTCTACGTTTCAAAATACGTGTTAGGAATTACAGAACAATTTTCCACGTTCCTGCTCCAGCAGTTTATCCATGTTTTTATTAAGTCACTATTTAGATGCTGAGCAAGAATCCTGAAGGTGAAGAGGGTTTTTGTGTTCCCAGCACGGCCCCTGTGGAGCAGCAGAAGCTGGGCACAGCGCTTGTCCGGGGGGCACGAGCTGCAGGAATCCTCCACGGGCCGGGGCTGACAGCCACCTGCAGCGGAGACACCCCCGACAAGCTGAGGACGCTCCCCCAGCCTCTGTGTCCTCATCAGCAGTGTCGGGGCAGCCCCAACCCCTGGGTCCCCAAGGGGGAGTGTGCAGAAATCACTCCCACGGCTGTGCTTGTTGAGAGGGTGTTCGTGTCCTGTTTTTGCCAAAGCCCGTGGATAGCGCACTTCTCCACCCTGCCCCGCCTGGGACAGCCTCGCGTACACCTGTCCTCCGGGCCTCAGGAGTGATGGTTTCTATCGTCCTCAGCCCCGTGTGCACGGGCTTGGGAGGTAAGACCTCATGCCTCCGCAGAGGGGCCGTGTCCGTGTCCGCGAGGTGCCCGAGGCTCTGGAAGCTGGAGCCAGCCCAGCCCGCAGGCCCGCTCCGGGGTGGTGTCCCCCCCCCCCCCCCACCAGGCCTCTTGGAAGTGAGCTCAAAGTCTGCACCGCCGCAGATGCGGACTTGTTGAGTGCTGTATCTGAAGCAGGCCGTGCTGTGGCATGCAGGCAGAGTGACGCGGGCCGTTCTTTACAGGAGCCTGGGAGTTTGCAGCAGTCGGTGCACTGGATCCTACCTCTGTCCTCTCTCTGTCTGCCTTCTAGCTATCACCTGGCTCTCTGCCTGTTTTTAATATTCTGCTGAAGATCCCTGGGACTCCCTTAGAAGCAGGGAGGGCTTGCTTTTGCAGCCTCTGTGCTTGGGGAGCTCACACACGGTGCCCCATGTAGATACCGCCTCTCTTAAGAGCTCCCTTTCCAGGGACAGGGCCTGGATCAAATCACACTCCAGCTTATCACCCTCACCCTCCACAGTGACAAGCACAGCAGCTCAGTACTTTATATGGAGTGGGCTAAAAATGCACAATGCACACCCTGTAAGGTTCACGGAGTTGCATTTAGAAGGTGTGCGTCACTGCCCCGTGAAGACAGTGGGCCTGTGCTGGGGGCTGTGGGGTGCCAGAGCCCCAGAGTCACATCCTCCGTGCAGGGGGTGCAGGGAGGCCAGCCAGCTCCAACATGTACCTGCTCTCGGCTTCTCTGCTTTGTTCCAGGCCACCGGTCCCTTTGCTGGTTGTCACACGTTAACACCTGTGTGACTGTGACACACACAGGTTTATGTGTATTTATGTATACGTACACTATGTAGTAGAAAATATTACATGACTGTACCGTATTAGGTGTCATATACAATGTATACTCTGTATAATATATGAAATATATATTTGTTATATCTGTAATAGTAATTATATGAATATGTTAGAAATACAAACATGATTATATATTGTATATAATATATTACATGTCATATGCAATGTGTAACGATATAAGAAATATGTACAAATGTACACACAGGTGTGCACAGGTGTGTGTTGGTAGCCAGGTATGTGTGTGACAAATAGGAAAGCGGAGGGTGGCATGGAATGAAAGAACAAAGAGAAGTTGAGAGCAGCTTCACTGTGTAATTTATAAAAGTATGTGTAGATGTATTCTCTCTACATAATATAGAAACAATTCTATAATACCGTGTTTCAATATTGCGTTATATGTATTGTATAAAATAGGGTAATATGTGTTACATATTACTAAGATGTAATGTATTGACCCAGTGAGTCACGTAACATAGTAGCACATTTTTGGCGGGAAGTGCACACTTGTAAGCACAGGTGCGTTGATGGCCGTGAAGGCACCTGTGCTGTTGATTAACTTCCACACATGGGTCTCTACTCCGTGGGCCATTTCATTTTGAACGATCCTTATTTTTCCTTTCCTCTTGACCTTCACTAGATGAGGAGCTCTGAATCCCCTGTAACGATCTGTTAGGATAAACTTTCTAAATGGCTAGTGCCTATTCCCTTTGTAAGGTTAAATGTCCTGGAGAGAGTCACGCACATGGGTGTTTCTGGATTCCTTGGTCTTGTGTAGTCTGGGGGGGGAAGCAAGATGCACCTGGAGTCCGAAGGTCGTGGTCCTTGGGCCTCCGGGCGAAAGTGCGTGCTCACATCCCACACTCACCGGCCCTCGGGGTAGTCAGCTGCCGCTAACTGGAAGGTAGGGCCCACTGGTGGCTGTGGTGCTTTTCCGAAATCCGGTGTGTCTATCCAGAGTAACATGGATCGCCCGGGCCAACTGAGGCCTCGACAGGAATGCCGTGTGATTGACAACCACGGTTTGCATGCGAGTTTGGTAGATTACAAACCATTTTGTGGTAAGTTTCTCCCCTTTCAGGCTCTCAGGCGCTGTTAGGGGATAAACTAGCTTACTCCCCATTGTACTGCGGATGGGTCTGGCAAGAAGTTCCCGTTCACTGGAGATTCCATTGGGGGGCTTTTCTGCACACTGAAGGCTTAGAACGAGCACTCGTCTTGCACTGCTCCTAACCACCGGGCTCTTTGGGGCTCAGGGTCCTCATCCTTTGCATTTTACAGAATTCACAGATCCATCGAATATCTAATGTCTCACTAGGGTTCAACCCCGTTTTACAAGGGTTTCCATTCTCTTCCCCCAGGGTTACCAAGGCATGGTCGATGGCGGCAGAAACATTGTTGAAGCCAGTTGGGAGAGCGTCTCGAGCATTCTCCAAGTGGTACGTGCTGACTTCTAATACTGTTTCTCTGAAGTAAGTCCCGCTTTTAAAAAGTTGGAAACCTTTTATGCGTAGGCTCCAGTGATACTTAACACGGATTAATGTGCTGCCTGGCATTGTTCTCACCTACTTACATGGTAAAAAACCAAAAAAACCACCTTAATTTGTCATTTCATTAACATTTTTAAAAAGCTTTTACATCGTGGAAACAGGATTATTCTTGCAGTAAAAAGTTATGTGTGACCTCTAGTGTTCCCTGTGGTCCTTGTAGCGGATTTCAGGTTTGTTTTTGTTTTTTTTTTAAGAGCAGATTAATATTGAGGCCGCCTCGGTTTGTTGGTGCTATGTTCACGGCAAACAGCCCCGCCTGTTGGATTTTTGAGAGTCACTTGGTGTCAGTGTAACAAAGCCTGGGAACGGTCCCTCCCAGGGCAGCAGGATTTAGTGGGAACCCAGCCTCCCAGTTCTGGCCTGAACCAGTCAGGGCTCATCGCTCTGGTGTGCACAGGAATGAGGCGGGTATGGCTTCAGGCAAAACAATTGCTTACTTTGAATTTAAAAGAAACCTGCCTGATTGTTTCATGCCTATAAATTCCCCAAACATGGTAGCCAAGGGAAGCCTCCAAATCCTCGGAGAGGCGGATAACGTGGAAAGAATGGACTTGACAAAAAGCTCTTCACTCGTGGTTTGACCTGTTGAAACGCATGTATTAATGTGTAACTTGTGTTGAGTATTTTTTAAATAGAAACCAAACTGGTGCTGTCCCACCGAAGGTGTTAGTGTGATGGAAGAATGAATCAAATAAACGTGGCGTACAGATATGAATGGAATATATATGCAGCCTGAAGAAAGGAAGGAAATCCTGCAGGCTGGGACGGCGTGGGCGGACCTCCAGGGCATTATGCTGAGTGAAATAAGTCAGACACAGAGAGACAAATACCTTGTGATCTCACGTGTGGGACCTAAAAAAGCTGAACGCCTGGAAACAGCAAAACAGTGGTTGCCAGGGGCTGGGGGAGGGGAAACGGGGCCGTGCCAGTCACAAGGCACAAACTTCCAGGCTGAAGACCAGTGAGTTCTAGATCGAACCTACAAGCGTGGCGACTGTGGTTAATAACACTGTATTGTACCCTTGAAAGTTGTTAAGAGAATAAGTCTTAGTTCTCAACACACATATACACACGTGCCGGTAACTGAGGTGGTAGACGAGTTAGTGAACTTGAGTACAGTGGTCATTTCACATAAATCCTATGGTTCATACCAGTGCTGCACAATAATTACAATTTTTGAGAGTTGCTTAAATAGTAGACCTGGAAAGTTCTTACGACAAAAAAAGCTAATGATGTGAACTGATAAGTAGATCCACGAGCGTCCTTGCGGTGATCACATCAGCGCCTCGCGCACTCACGCTCACGTGACGTGCTCGGTCCGTCATCCCGGTGGGGAGATGGTAGTGGGTGTACATGTGACTGCCCAGGGAGACAGGACGTGCAGGTGCCCCTGAGTGTGTGGGGGCAGGGAGGGGCGCCTCCTTTGCATTCCTCAGCTGTAGCTTCGCTCCTGGGGCCCCAAGCACGTGATCCCCTCAGTGTGGATGGGCTGCTGACGCAGCTCCCAGTTGTTAGAAATCACATGACCCTCCGATGGCTCTCGGTCGAAGCCAAGTCCAGAGAGCCAGCTTATCTTCGCTGTGTGCCCTGCACCTTTGGCCCCGGCCCCCCTCTCTGCTGCACCCACAATGCCGACTCCACCACACTCACTGTCATCAGCGCAGGCTCCCTTTGAGGGGGGAGCGCCTCGCCTTACAAAGTGAGCGTGTACCTGAAGGACGGCCCACAAATGCAGGCTTGATAAGCGCATCCATGGTGTATGTGAAGGAACCCTGGTTTTTTCCAAATGCAACTAGGAATCGTTCGTTTTTGAAAAACCAAATGTGAAAAATCACGACTTCTCACTCCCAGAAGTTTGGATGATCCAACTTGAGTTTTCTTAAGATTTAGCTTTCAAAAAGGGTGCGGCAGGGAGATGTGCAAAAAAGCAAAAAAACCCCTTTGGCTCACCGGTCTCTGCCTTGCCTGTGCATACGGTGAGCTCTGATGGTACCGGGGCCGCTTCTCTGGCCAGCGCTGCATCCAGCTGAGGTTCGGGGGGGTGGGGTCGGCCGCCCCACGCTGTACCACCATAGCACAGGCCTCCTGCAGACTGCCCTGCTCTGCGTGTTTACCTGATGGCTGTGCCGGTCTCCTGACCACCCCCCCCCCGGCTCCCCCTGGGCATGATGCCTGTGTCTTTGTCCATTGTACCCACACTTGAGCGACTTAAATGAGGGGAACCTAGATTCTGCCAGTCCTGCATGTATACAGGGGTATTGACATGCGCTGAGCCCCGCCACTTCCTCTCCTGCGGGAAGAAAATAAGTACGCGTGGTTTTGTTTGTTTTCCAGGGAGGGACCATTATCGGCAGTGCTCGTTGCAAAGCCTTCCGCACTCGGGAAGGTCGCCTGAGAGCTGCTCATAACTTGGTTCAGCGGGGCATCACTAACCTGTGTGTGATCGGCGGGGATGGAAGTCTCACAGGGGCCAATATCTTCCGGAAAGAGTGGAGCGGGCTGTTGGAAGAGCTGGCCCAAAATGGTACATCCCTGCCTCTGTGTGCTGTTCTCGTGGGTTTTCTGTTCCCTTCAGAGAGCTCTGACCTCACACGTCCACCCATCTGACTGTGGAGAGGCATGAGGGGTGGCGGTGCAGGCCTCCTGCTTTACCACCTGGACTTGACCTTGTGCCTCTGAGAATGATGAGTTCTATGTTCCTGGTCCTGCCCCATGCCAGGCACTGCCCACCCCCGGCACAGGTTCGGGGAGCGCTCCTGATGGCCATCTGAGCTAGTAGGTCTCCTGTGTGTCCCCACTCAGCAGAGGAGACCCGGGGGGGGGCGGAGGAGAGGGTGCGCCGGGCCGCCCTTCACCTCCCCTCCCTGCTCCACGGGGGGCTCCTGAATGTCCACTTGTTGCACAACTTGAGCTGAGATGTAGCTGCTGGCTGATTTGGTCGCGTCCCTTCTCAGGCTGCGGGGGCAGGATTCTCGAGAACCCCCCGTGTTCTGTGACCTCTGTCTTGGAAGGGTGGTGATCCATAATTCCGGTTCAGCATAAAACATGACAGTGGGAGCAAACTGCCTGAAGGAACGGCACCTTCGTGAAGGGGGTGAGCTGGCCAGAAGCCGTTGCCTCAAGCCTCTGAGGTCCGTTCAGGGACTGGAGATGGGCCGTTGGCCACCCGTGGCACGAGTCAAAGGTCATCTGCTGTATGCGGGCCTGCCGCAGGCTCCGCAGTGGCCCAGAGGGGTTGCCACTAGGTCCCAGCCTGTGCCCCGCTGATGAGCACATCTGCCGACTGCACAGTGTTTGCTGAGAGCCGGGAGGTAGATCCCTGCCGACAGCCAGCCCCACACGTGTGAGAAACCAGCATCCCTAAGTACCGAATGCTGTGACGGGGCTGTGTCCTTACTTGGAGGCATGTGTGCCTGAGGCCATGGCCGAAGAGAAGTCGGGTTCGACCCGCCGGACGCCGGGCACAGACCCCACGCGCCCGTCTGCCCCTCACTGCCCCTCCCCCGTCTGGCTGTCATACCCTACATGTGCAGAATGAGGTGGTTCAAAAGCCAAAACCGCACACAGGAAGCCAGTGTAGAACCCCAGCTTTCTCAACCCGGGACACCCTGTTTCTCAGCAGCCTGACACCCGTGGCGTCGGCGCAGCTCCCGGTCACGGCCGGTGCTTGTTTTCCATGCAGGCGAGATCGACAAGGAGCAGGTGCAGAAGCACTCGTACCTCAACGTTGTGGGCATGGTGGGTTCCATCGACAATGACTTCTGTGGGACTGACATGACTATCGGCACCGACTCTGCCTTGCACAGGATAATCGAGGTTGTCGACGCCATCATGACCACCGCCCAGAGGTAACAGATGCGTGGGAGCCCAGGCAGGGGCCGTTGGAAGTTAGATGTGCTGCGGTGTAGACGTCCGTGCCGGCCCTGGACGACTCCCCAGATGCGTGTTCTGTGCTGCGGGGTAGACGTCCGTGCCGGCCCTGGATGGCTCCCCAGACCGGTGTTTTGATACAGTCTTGTTACTGAATGTTAGAAACCAGAGCAAGAAAACGGCTTCCCGTTGACTTTTTATTTTCAACTGTAAAAGGTTACTCCTATCCCTGGTTTTAGAAGAAATAAGTGTTTGCTGGAGGGAAGACAAAATAATCCTAGCGGGAAATCCCATGCAAGGTCTCCTGTGAGTGGCCGGACTGGATGGGGCCCCTTGTCCTCTGGCTCAGTAGGCGCCCGAGGACCCCAGGGGTGTTGGGGGAGCCCAGCGGTTGTTCCTATCGCCTGGAGTGCTCCCCGCCCTGCAAGGGCGTAGGCGTGTGTGCTGAGCGACGGGGCTGGTCCTGCTCCTCGGGAGGAGCCTAGAGGTGTCCCAGGAGTGTGCGTGTGTGCGGGAGAGCGAGCGCTCGCTGTAAAGTGTGTAGCCCCAAAGCCCCTTTGCGCGCAAGAGCTCGAAATGCTAGCACAGTGGCATCTGCTTTTGTAGAAAATGGGCCCTTTTTGGAAGCTTAGGTGCCGGCCATCACCATGAAGCAGGCTTTCCACCCCACCTGTCGGTCACAGGACTTCCCTGTTTTCTTTTCATGCGGTTCCCAGTGGTGGTAAGTGGATGTTTCCTCTGTCTCTTTTCCAGCCACCAGAGGACCTTTGTTCTCGAGGTTATGGGGAGACACTGCGGGTACGTATGTGTAGACGCGATTTGGATGGTGAGCACCCTCAGCTTGGCCCCCTCGAGAGCCCTGCGCCCATGGGATAGACGCCCCCAGGCGGGAGCCCGCTGTTGCCAATGCTCGCTCGTGTCCCGACTGCCCAGGGCCGCCTCCGAGCTGTGGCTGCCCGGCAGCAGCCTTCCAAAATCGGTGCCGTTTCCGAATAGGTACCTCGCCCTGGTGAGCGCCCTGGCCTGTGGAGCAGACTGGGTGTTCCTTCCGGAATCCCCACCAGAAGAAGGCTGGCAGGAGAATATGTGCATCAAGCTGTCCGAGGTAATGTGCGTTCTGTGTCCCTCGACCGCCAGCACCTCTGACCGCCGTGTGCGGCAGCCTGTGGGGGTCCCAGGCTGGACGGAGTTAAAAGCAGGTGGAAACTCTGTGGTTCTCAAGTGAGTCCAGGCTTGTCACGTAGGGTCTGCATTCATTGGCTCTTCATGTGTCCGGCTGCCCCCAGTTTCCCAAAGCAGTGCCGTAGAGAAACCCCAAAAGCTTTGTATTTCATGCAAAGCAGCAGCTGAAGGTTGAAGTAGTCTTAAGTAGAGATGATGGCTGTTAAGAGAAACCGGAGTCGGGGAGGAAATCTGCCTCCCGTTCCGTCTCCACTCGCCAGTGTGAGCCGACCTGTGTTTTGACCGCAAGCCCCTCCTGGGCTGAGCCGTCCCTGCCTCGCTGGGCTTGCGTCAGGTGTGATGGTGGAGGGGTACTCTGGACCAGGCTTTTCCTTCTGTTTGTAGTCTGGGGCTGCCTGTGGCCCCCACTCAGCGTTATTAGTGGAGGGTGCGTTGCCCTCTGGGAAGGCTTCTGAGAAGGGCATACGAGCTTAGCTCCCAGGACAGAAATCCCAGCGTGGGGTGCACTTCCCAGCCACGTCAGCACCGTCCTGCAGGTGCATAATGTAAGCATATGGCACAGGCTAGTTATGGCTGTATTCAGCAAGCACGTACACTCTGCATGTAGCCAGGTCACGTGTGCATTGCCACCACCTTCAGGTGACAGGTTCCAAGAAAGGAACTTGAGCAACATACCCAACAAGCTTTGCTGACCCAAACACGATGTAAGGAACTGCTGATGAATGCCATAGCTTTGCTGGGAGGAATCGTGCCCATGGGAAGGTGGGGCTCAGCTGCGGGAGACCGGTGAATGCAGGAATGCCCCAAGTCCCAGTATTAACCGTGGACGTAATAAATCCACTCATTGTTTCTTGGTTCCGGCCTGGGGAGGTGGGCCAGCTGGTGTGGGGTGATTCGTGGCTGGCTGCGTGACATTAGGGGTGGCACTGGTCTTAGACTGGACGTGTGTGGCTCTGAGAACATGCATTTAATCACCAATCCTGCGGGGGCCGTGCCTGTCCCCGCTGGCCATCCTTCCTCCCCACTGACAGCGCCAGGCCTGGTCCAGGGCAATGCGGTCACAGGCCAAGTTCTGGCGGCAGCCCTTGGGGACGGGGAAACACACCCTCGCTCCGAGGCCACGCACAGTGGTTGCAAGGTCAGGGTAAGGTGGTAGGGCTGAGGCCCTATTTGGTTTTTAGGTGCTGAGTTTTGGATTTGGCCATTATTTCCATACCTGTGTGGTCTTGTCTGCAAACCTCCTTGGGTTTCAGACTTCATGAACCATCAGCTAGGACAAGAACAGAAAGAGTTGGGGTCCCTGCATTAAGTGCCGGCGGATGGCTTGGACTCCCTTGTGCAGAAACACTTGATCTCATCATATCTGTAATTAATTTTTATTGGTTGTGGATGTAGCGCTGTAAGAATTTTTCCAAATATCTTGTCAGGTAAGTTGGCCTAGGAAGCAAGCCTCAAGAGCATGCCCCAAATCCCAGGCATTTCCGTCTAAAACAGGAAAGGCCTCTCTTGAGGCATCACAGGTCCTAGGGTTGGGCCTCAGCTCTGCCACCCACAGGGTGACCGTGGGCAGATGACCCCACATTCCCAGGTCCCGAGTTCCTCAGGCCCCTGGTGCTGTCGTGAGGACTCAGGGAGGGAATGCGTGCAGGTGTGGACGTGGGAGGCGTCCACACACCTATTCAGGCACGGCGGCTTATCTTCCCACGGGCATGTGTAGACAACTCTTGTTCTGTAACCCTCTGGAATATTACGTTTTACGGATGACGTGTGGCTCCGCAGCCAGTCCCATATTCATGGAGACGTCACACTCACTCTTGTAGCCGCATCTTTACACCTCTTAGGAAATATTTCTGACTAGTAAGCTCTTCGAAGTGGAGCACATTTACATCAATGTAAAACCAGCACCACACACCAGATGTGCTTGAGGCACCTCGTGGGGACCGGGCGAGCCTGGCCAGAACCAGCCCGCTGGGCGGCACGGGCGTGGCGGCCTCAGGCACTGCCCGCGCTGGGGCTCACAGCCCCCACGGGAGGAGGGTCTTGGGACGGGATGGAGAACAGACTTGGCTGGGAGTGATTTCCGGGCGTCGCGGGATGATGGCCACCGTGAGCCTGTGGGGACGGCAGGTGTGGGTGCCGTGCCGGTCCGGCCGGGCCCGCGCAGGTGCGCCTCCACCTCTGCACTCTCCTCTGCACCTCTCCTGCCCCCGGTGCAGGCCTGGGGCTCCGTGCTCTGATGGCAGTGGCTGTCCTTCGTGGACGGGCTCACGGTGGGGTGGCGGGAAGCTCTGGCTCCCGAGGACGTTGGAAGCCTGGTTTGCAGTATAGATGCGCCGCAGGGCCCATGGCTGAGCTCACTGGCTTCTGGGGCCAAATGGCAAAGGAGCATGGCCCCCAGCCCGGGGCTGCCTGGCTGCTGGCCTGCGTCTGGGGCGATCTCACGGGCCCCTCCCGCCCCCGCCACCTCCAGCTTCACGCCCACAGCGCCTTGACCTGCCCCGATGGTCGGAAACCCTGCTTGCGAAGTTAGGTGACGATTTCTACCTGGCAAGTGGCCAGTTCACCTGGGGCAAGGGGTCCTGGATTTGTTTATTTTTAAAATGGTGTTTGAGGGTGTTCTTTTTCTGTTTCCTCTAGAACCGTGCCCGGAAAAAAAGACTGAATATCATCATTGTGGCTGAAGGAGCCATAGATACCCAAAATAAACCTATTACCTCTGAGCAAATCAAGGAGGTGAGTGTGTCCGATTTTGCAATTGTCCTCGGACGCCAGCCTGGAAATGGGAGAGGGTGACGCGGCTGGCAGGGTTCCAGTTTGGAACGTTGTATTATTATCATGAAAACACTTTTTGTTCTTCCTGATGTTTAAAGATGTTTTCGTAATGACTCATGACTTTAACAGCATGGGTCTCCTGCAGCTCCCGCCTTATTGTTGGGAATATTCCCCGAGGCCCTGGAGCCGCCCTGTCAGTCGGGGAGATGCAGCGGGATGGGAGGCAGGGGGTTCCAGCGCAGCTGCCCCAGCCAGGGACGAGGGTCAGGCGCTGGGGAGGGGGGTGCAGCCTCCGTGCTCTTGCAGACGAGAGCGCCTGTTAGGTTTGCGCCCATGCCGCACCCGGCCCCGTGGAGGGGCCACCCAGGAGGTCCCGTTGCTGCGCGGCTCGCTCGAAGGTGCTGGCTTGTTGCACCAGCCCTGGGTTGGGCGGGATGGGCCAGGCTCTCCAGTCAGGCAGGTGGCTGCGCACGTTCCAGATGGGACGCTAGGGAGACAGACCGCCAGACGGGCAGGCAGGCTCTGGTTGAAGCCATCCATCACAGCAAAGGACGTTATCCGCTTGGCTTTGCAAAGTGGTTTCTCTCCCTTCCCTGACCAGCTGAGCGCCTGAGCCCCAAACCGTGGGGAGCTGTGTGTGAAGGCGCTCGGCCAGTACCAAAAGAAGCAGTAAGGGCCAAGGTTTCCTTTCCCACTCCAGCAAAGCTGAGCATGAATCCTGGACTCGGGGGGCCACAGGCTTCACGGAACCCCCAGCCCGCTGTTTTTATAGAGGAAGAGGTGAGGTCTGGGGAGAAGACAGGGCCCGGCCCAGCTCTTGTGGGGCCCAGCCCGAGGGGGCGCCGTGGTTGACCACAGCTTGCTTTTCAGATTCAGCTGTACAAGCTTAAGGGGCTGCAGGGAAATGTCTGCATTTCTGTAAAATATCACTGATGCCGTGTCCTTTTTTTAAGGACATCATGTTACTTATCTTCATTTGCAAGGTAGGAGAGACAAAGATTTTATTTGATAATAAAAGCATTCTTTTTAAGAAAAACAAACTTCAGCTCACCATTAAACTGAACATCCTTTTAGGAAGTGAAATTTAGAAACTAGAATTTTTTCCCACGTCGGTGTGAAGTGAGAGTAGAGAGACCTCTGGGGCGCCAGCACCCTGCACAAGGTGACCCCCTGTGTTACGTGCTGTGTTTCTTGCAGCTCGTGGTCAAGCAGCTGGGATACGACACGCGGGTGACCATCCTTGGACACGTGCAGAGAGGTGGGACTCCTTCGGCCTTTGACAGGATTTTGGTGAGTGAGGATGGAAACGGTCAGGTTCCTTCCCCTGGGAGCGAGGAGGAACCGTTTGCCAAAAAGACCGTCCGGCTCAGTGTCTCTGCCTGCAGTGTAGGTGGCCCGTCCTGGACATAACTGTGCTCGGCCCCCAGTCACACAGATGCTGGGAGACCCCCAAACCTGGGGGGTGAGGGTGACAGGGACTCCAGAGAACACAGCCTGCGTGCAGGTGTCTAGACCCAGGCCCTGGGTCAGCAGAGGCCCGGTCCAGTTTCAAGGGTGTTGGTCTTGGGTGCCCTCCGTGCCTCTGACCTTCCCCTTCACTCCCCCGTGCTGGCCACTTCCTACTGGGGCCAAAATGCCCTTGTTGGAGGCGGGTTAGAAGTAAGCAGGTGGACTGTCAGTAGCTCTTCGGGATGCAGTCCAGTAGGATGGGAGGCAGGTTGCATCCCTCTGAACACCGTGGGACAGGCTCTGCTCATGGATGCGTCTGCTGGGGGCACCAAGGTCGTGCCTCTGTGGAGCCGGCGGCGGGAGGGCATGCTGCCTTGGCCTTTGGCCTTGGCCTTTGGCCTTGTCTTTGACCTTCGTGATTGTCCTTTCCAGGCCAGTCGCATGGGGGTGGAGGCTGTGGTCGCCCTTCTCCAGGCCACCCCGGAGACCCCGGCCTGCGTGGTGTCGCTGAGCGGGAACCAGGCCGTGCGCCTGCCACTGGTGGAGTGCGTGCAGATGGTGAGTTCTGGGCGCCCCTGTGCTCACTGAGGAGTCCAGCGTGGCTTCACTGAGCTTCCCCAGCGCACAGGTGCTGCCCGCGGGCTGAGGTCGTGGGTCTGGGGCACGCGGACTAACCCCCGCTAAGGTGAGGTCAGTCTGTCGGCAGGGAGCGTGTGCATCGAAGAAGACGTGGAGGAACACGGGGCTGTGGGGACTCTTGGGGGGGCGTCCCGGGGGCCAGGTGGACGGGGCCGAAGCTCTGTGATTTCAGCCGCTCCTGCCCTCCTGTCTCTGAGGACCTTCCGACCAGAGATGTGGCCGTAGGGCGGCTACTGCGGGTGACATCCTGACGTGCCGCAGCTTCCTTCAGGCCCGGGAGTGGGTGCCCCTGGACGTAGGGAAACGGGCTGTGGTTTTCCAGGTCACTGGCCACCTGAGGAAGTGGCAGCGAGCCGCATTAGATGCCGTCCCTGTCTGTATTCTCCAAAGCCTATCCATGACCACCCTTTTCTTGGCCTTTCTGGCAGCTCTGAGTGAACGTACTGTGTAACCTAGACAGAGGAGTGATTACATAATCACGTCCGGGGACTTGTTGAAAGTAGCCATAGAAAAACGCTTTCCAGAAGCCTATGGGGGTGAATAAATGTGTGTGTGTGCGCATCTGCCACCTGTCAAGGGCCTGGCACGTTCCTCTCCCCAGCAACGACGGGGTTGGGGTATTTTTCTTAGCGCACCGATGAGGGAGCTGACATTCAGAGGGGAACAACTTGCCCAAGATCCTCACATCGACGGGGCGGAGGCGGGTGTGAGCGCTTCCCCAGGGCCGCCGGGCCCCCGCACCGCCATCCTCCCCGCAGTCCCCCCCCCCCCCCCGTCCCCCCGAGAGGCCGGTTCTGTCGTGCTTCTTCCTCGCCAGAATCCAGTGAGGAGTTGCTCAGAAGGCTGCTTGTCCGAGAGCCTGGTTTCGCTCTGGCTTTGCTCTCGGGGATTTCAGGATCTCCTTCCCCGGTGCTGCTGGCTGTGCACCTCCCATCCTGTTTCCAAGCCGCCTGAGCCGCGCAGGCCTGGGCATGTCCCTCGCAGCCGGCACTGGCCGTGACTCGCTGGGCCTGGGCTGCCAGGCTGGAAGGTCGGCGCGAAGGGGGCAGGCAGGCAGGAGCTGCAGGGCGCGGCAGCGCTCCTCATCCACAGACGTGGGAGTCTTGACACGTTCTCTCTTGTTTGAAGACCCAGGACGTGCAGAGGGCCATGGACGAGAGGAGGTTTAAGGATGCTGTGCGGCTCCGCGGGAGGTGACTATGCAGCCCGAGGGCCCTGATGGGTAGCTGGTCTGCTTTCTGGCCGGTGGGGCTGTTGAGAGCTTAGCGAGGTGCAAATAGAAAGGGGCTCGTGGCTGGCATTTTGAGAAAGACGCTGGAGTGCACAGAAGACCAGGTCTCTCAGCTGCACGCACAGCACGCACCATTGTAACTGGAAATACCCGGGGCCCTGGGGACACGGGGTGGCACCCCGCTGCCTGCTTGCCCCGAGAGCCCCGAGCAGGTGCATGCCAACTGTGTGCGTCCGGCACAGGCTGCTCTCCCAGGGGAGCCCCTCACGCTCTGCCCACCCTGTAACCTTGGGCCCAATGGCGCCTTTTCCTTCCAGGAGCTTCGAGAGCAATCTGAACACCTACAAGAGGCTCGCCATCAAGTTGCCGGATGATCAGATCGTGAAGGTAGGTGACGCTGCGCTGCCCCGAGAGTCACCCCCATGTTTCCCGCGGGCCCACGCCTCCGGGCTCCCGGGCTGCGCACCCACCATGTGCTCGTGGCTTGTGTGGCGCGGACACAGCCTGCCCTCCCATCTCGCAGAGCAACTGTAACGTGGCCATCATCAATGTGGGGGCGCCCGCCGCCGGGATGAATGCTGCTGTGCGCTCGGCCGTGCGCGTGGGCATCGCGGATGGGCACAAGATGCTCGCCATCTACGACGGCTTTGAGGGCTTTGCCAAAGGCCAGGTGAGTCCTTGGGGGACGCTGTGGGGAACGGAGGACCGCCCTCCCTCGGCCGCGAACCTAGGTCTCCATCAAGTGGTGGACATGAATGCTGCTCTTTGGGACGTCTTCTGCTCTGGATCCATCCTGGGGTTCGCACTCTGGGCCCTGCAGGGATGCTGTGTGGAACGCACCACCCGGTTTTGTCCAGGGGCCGCAGGCAGTGGGGCCGTGGAGGCCGTGGGGGGAAGGGGCCAACAGAGGCTGTTGTGCCGTTGGAGGGGGTGCGGCCAGGGGGCACTCAGATGAAAGCTTTGGTGGAAAGAGTGAGCACTCACTTCTTGCGTGCTTACTGTGTACACTCAGTGCTCCTACGAGATCTGCAAACCTGAGATATTAGCCCCGTTTTCCTGACACAGAAACTGAGGCACAGAGACACTAATTAGCTTGACCGAGGTCACATGCTGCAGGAGCTTAGTGTGATTGAGGCTGCAGGTGTCTCCTGCGGGACAGTATTTACTCACCCGATCACCCAGCAATGCCCTGAGTTCTTACCCCAGGGAAGCCAGCTGGTGCAGAAAGCAAAGCCCCCCTCTGCCAGGTTGTAGCTTGGGGAGGGAGAGGATGGTGAGCGAGCAGGGGGAGCACGGCCTGGCACCGCGGGCAGGGACCCCACCGCATAGATGCTCAGAGGAGGGGTCTGCCCTGGGACCCTACAGACACACGTCCCGGGAAGGGAGTCTCAGACTGGAGACGGAGGTGCTGAGCCGTGTCCATGAGGATGTGCCGGCCGGGCCAGGACAGCACCAACGGGTTCGGGCCGGCCGGCTCACTCAGGCTCACGTGGCTGCTGTAGCAGCAGAGCGGGGGAGTGGCCGGGGTGGGGCCAGGCGGCTTGTAGGTGATTGGAAGGAGTTTGGCTCTTGCTTGGAGAAGACAGGAGGGTTTTGAGCAGGACGGGACCTGTGGCGGGGGCACTGGATGCCCAGGGGGAGGCGTCCGGGGAGCAGGCAGGGCTGGGCTTGGGGTCTTTAAGAAGTGTAGGCAAAAGACCCGAGTTTGGGAGGAATTGGTGCACAGAGGGGACCCCCAGGTTGGCGCCCGTGTTGGCGGATGCGACCCTTGCTCCTAGGAGTGGGGAGGGGGGCCGGCGCAGGAGACCGCGTGTGTGCACGCCTAGCTGGCCTCAGCTGCCCTCTTTAGATTTCTTCCAATATTTAAAGAAGTTTCCTTTTACGTCAATTAAGAAAAACAGTGTCTGTTTTTCTTGCATTCCCACGGGAAGAGCTTGGCCAGCCGAGGTCAGGATCTGATCTGCGTGGCGGGGGTTATGTGGCGGGAGGGCCGGGCCCGGGCGTCCTGGGTTCTGACCCGCTCAGTGTCAGGACGGGGGGTGCTCCTGAGTGCCTCGCAGGCCCCTGGGGCGGCGCCCCTGCCGAGGGTGCAGACCCGGGAACCGCCTGCACAGCTGACCCCCCCCGTTTGTCGCTCCCCAGATCAAGGAAATCGGCTGGGGGGACGTCGGAGGTTGGACTGGCCAAGGAGGCTCCATTCTCGGGACCAAACGGTAATTCCCCTGTCTCGATTCTGACCCGCCCTTAGGAAGGAGAAGGACCCCCCATCCTAGAGGAGTAGCTGGTGCAGAAAGTGCGGCTGGCTCACCTGCCAGCCCCCCGCCCCCGTGAGCAGCCCGGGTCGTGCCCTGGAACAGAGAGGAGGCACATGGCTTACAGATATTCACAAGCTTTTATAGTGCATTTTTTTTTTCTGATGAGGCATTAGGATTCTTTTGAGGTCCAGCAACTGCACAGCTGAACGTTTGTTCCCGTTTGTGTTCTTTGTTTTTGTTTTTGTCTTGTTTTGTTTTAAACAGACTCTCTGCAGACTTGCTTCCCCAGCTCTGCTGTCCGGCCCGGGTGCCGCTTGTGGTGGCTGCAGGGCTCGGCCCGGGGCTGGGGGCTGGGGGAGTGGGGTTGGGGAGGCACACCGGGGGCTGGCGGGGCTGTCACCCACTGTGCGGGGTTGGTCCGGCCTCACGTCCCCACTGAACTGTTCCTAGCACGCTGCCTGGGAAGTCTTTGGAGGACATTGCCGCACAGATGCGAAAGCACAGCATCAACGCGCTGTTGATCGTCGGTGGATTTGAGGTACGTCCTTTCTCTGGGCACCTGCTGGCTCGTCCGTGCCGTAGGTTTGGGGTGTTAGCGTGGGCAGACTTCCAGCAAGCACAGTGCGGTGGGTGGGGGGGCGGTAGCCCCTGGGCCTGGGGGCCACTGCAGGAGCCGAGTTGGGGAGCAAGCGTGGGACTCCCCACCTGGGATGCGTCTGTCCACTGAGTTCTCATCCGTTTCAAGTCTGCAGAAATGATCATCTCTCTCGAATTCGAGGCCCGATGGCCATCAGAGAGCAGGGCAGTTACGTGGCCCTATCGCTTCCGATTGCATGTTGGACCGCAGACCTTATTTTTTTTTATTCACCCAAGATTGGTCCCCTAATAACCTTTCCACTTGCTTTAAAAAAAACATGAGGACCTCAAATAAGACCCTTGCCCACAGGAGACGTGGTGTTGCCTCTGTGTGACGCGGTCTGGTGACCCTAATGCCTTCCCGCGGTTTTAACGGCCCCTCCGCTCCCCTCCCCCCACCCCCTCCCCCCAACACCTGCACACCGCTGACAGGCTTACCTGGGACTGCTCGAGCTGTCAGCTGCCCGGGACAAGTACGAGGAGCTCTGTGTCCCTATGGTTATGGTCCCCGCCACGGTCTCCAACAATGTGCCGGGCTCCGACTTCAGCATCGGCGCAGATACCGCTCTGAACACCATCACTGACGTAAGTCTGTGCGGTCCGCAAAGCAGGTGCTGCAGACGCTAACCCGGAGGGCGCCTGGCCCGCTTTTATCTGCTGTGCACTAGAGACTGCGAGACCTGGGCTCGTTTCCAGAAAAATCTTTTTTCTTTTTTTTTTTTTTAAAAGCCTGACTGTCTCTAATCCAATGCCCAGAGTTGTTTTGTCACCACCTCTTTTCCTGCGCCGCGGCCAGGATGATGCATCCCTGCCGAGGCCCGTCGAGCGACATGGAGCATCTGCAGCCCAGCTCGTTGTGGGCTAGGGTTTTGTGATTCGGATAATCATTAAAGTTAGGTTTCTTTTGGCTGGGCCAAACTGACTTCACTCCCATAACATTATTTATTAATTTTTTAAAGATTTTATTTATTTGAGAGATAGCGGCAGAGACAGCGAGAGACAGCAGAAGCTGGGGGAGCGGCAGGTGGCGGGGGGGGGGAGTTGACTCCCCGCAGAGCAGGGAGCCCGACGTGGGGCTCGATCCCAGGACCCCGGGATCATGACCTGAGCCGAAGGCAGACAGCCAACCGACTGAGCCAGCCAGGCGCCCCAGCCCATAACGTAATTTATTACGACAGATCCCGGGTCTGATGGCCCCTGCATGGGTGTTTGAGGCTAGAACTTGAGCTGAGGATTCTGTAATTTTGTTGAACGACCTGAACCCACCAGTGGCCTCCAGCCTGCCTGTGGCCCCAGCCGCGAGCTCCATTCTCCCCGTTGTAACTTGGGGACGTTAGCTCACATCTGAAAGATCCCTGACGCCCTGTTAGTTGTTTTGGCCAAAAGGCAGTAACACAACAGAAATGCACCTGTGTTAACCGTATTTGTGAGGCACACTGGGGAAATGGCATGGGAGCTCAAAGCACAGTAACCAACGGGATATATTCCTCCTCCTTTTTAGTCTGGCATCTAAAATTTTCCAGGAAATTCTCCAGTCTTTATTTTCCTTGTGGGACACAGATCCCGTGAATGTTTTTCTAGGATTTTTTTTTTCCTTAACCCCATGGAATCAAATTTGTCTCTAGTGCTGGTAAATAAAAGAAATGCTTTTTAAATAAAATTCAAATGGTAAGTAATGCTTAGCGCTTTCTTTTTTGTGTTGTGTTTTGTTTTGTTTCTCTGAGCCTCTTCAACTTTCTGTGGTTTCTTTACTAAAAAGCCCTGCCCCGTGTCTCCTGTGTGTCCACGCTGGAGCGTCCCTGTTTGTACCACTAACCTGTGGCCGGGCCGTTGCGCCCACCGTCCTGGTGATCGTTGCTCCCGCTTTGGCTGGTGTGAAGCAGTTCCGCTCCCGATCGGGCTCCAACCTTCCGTGGAAGGGTCCCTGTCCCTCCCTGTGCGTGACTGTCGTCCAGGCTTTCCTGCTCTTTTCTCTGCCCTTGGCTGGAGTTTGCATCTGCTTACGCTCAGTGGAAGCAACTGCAAGTTCACGTTTCCTAATTGTTACCTGCTCGGAACCCTCCTGGGGGTGGGGGTGGATGGGGACTCGGGACTTGTCCTCGGCAGGGCCTGGCCCCGGTTGGCGTTCACCTCCCTGTGACACGAAACCGGGAGCCTCCCACTTTAGAGTTGCAGGCTCCTCTGCTATGAAATGTGGTTTCCAGGTTATAAAGATTAGATACAAAAAATATACGAAACTCTAAATGATCCGCTTTGTTCCCCTTGGAGGGATTTGGACATTTGTTACGTGATCTTTTAAATCTGGTTTCTCATCCGTTTGAGTCTCTCCAAGCCAGCTGCCCAGTTACAAGGTCAGCAGCTTGGTGTCCGTGCCGGTGCCAGACCCACCCTCACTAGGTGAGCAGGTGTGCGGGTGTGCCGAGGCCTCGAGCCCATGGGGGACTTGTGACCCGTGGTGAGTCGGGTGCTCAGGGTGACCTGGGTAACAGCTTCAACGCCCATGCCTGGGCCTGCTGAGTGTGTCTTGGTAGGGACGCCGGGTTTCTTGCAGGCTTGTGTTTGTGCAAGCCAGAGTGAGGTTGTGTGTTGTTTAGGTTTGGATCTGGGTTGCAACCTGGCGGGGCTGGCCGCATGGAGGAGAGCGGCAGGCTGGAAACGTGCCATTGGGGGCTGAGGTGACGGGGCACAGGGCGCTCTGCGTCCCTCCTGATCTGCTCCGGAGGGACCGAGCACCTGTGAGTTCAGTGGGGGTTCGTGTGCCTCCCCCAGGAGCTCCTTCACAGCTGGGCCAGCTGTGGGCCCGTGGCCTCCTGGCCACATGGCTGGCCACCTGGAGCACCCAGAGTGCTGGGATTCTACCCCCGGGGCACGTCGGCAATGCTGAGGATGGTTTCGGTCTGCCATACGGGCTGTGGGGGCGCCACTAGCATGTGGTGGGTAGAGGCCCAGCTGCTGCTGACCCCCACGACCTCAGCGTGGCCCCAGCTGACGTGTCGCGTTCTTGGGCATTTCCATCACTGTCCTCAGGGATGACGTCCTCCATGTCTGCGCGTACGCTCGGCTTACCCGTGCGTCACTCAGAACAGGCCTCTGTGCATCTTGTGCATCCTGGAGGCTGCAGTGACTCCGGGCACCTCTGAGCAGGGGTTCAGAAAGCCGTCCCGCCACGGCTGCACGGCCCGCAAGGGGGCTGCGTTGGCGTCCCTGGAACTGGCGCACGAGCCGTCCCGGTCTGAGCTGAGCCCCGTGGTGCCGTGAGGGCTGGGAGGGTGGCTGCCCCGTTAGGAGCTCAAGGAGGTGGGAGCCAGGTTTATTTCCCCCCAAGGTGTCTTGTCTTTTCTCGGTGTTTGTACACGGGTGTTGTGTTGTAAACTCTGCGCTCGGAGCCCGAAGCGGAGGTCCGTATCGCTCCCCGGACCTTGGGCCCAATGTCCCCTCCAGCCCCCCTCCCTCTCCTGGCAGGGCTGCCCCCATCCCCGCTGGAGGGTCCCAAGAGTTTTCCTGGAGATTGAGAGAAAGTTCTTGAGGTTACGGGATGCCGGATTTAGAGATGCTGACTGCCCTCCTGGCCTCAGAGCCCGCCCTGTGACTCCCAGGGACACCTGCCTGTGCTGGCACTCCGTGCGGGGCCCCGAGCTGGACCTGGGGCTGAAAGGCAGGGTCCATGCGGGGACAGGGGTGCAGGCTGAGGTGGAGGAGGGTGAAGGCAGAGGGCTGCGAGGCAGGGGAGTGACCCCACCTGCCTCCTGGCCGCTCCCTGGGCTAACCCACCGCAGGCCCGCCATCCACACGTCCTCGGGCTGCAGGGCCCTAGGACCCGATGTATTTTGGGGAAATATGGGGCCATGGAGAGCATCGGCCTCTGCAGGAGGCCTGGGCCGTCCCCCTTCATCCGTGTGCACTCCTGTCACAGCACTCGGTGGTCATGAGGGGGTTAAGTACAGCCCTACAGGGGTCCGTGCACCTGCAGGTGGTCTCAAACCGCCCAGCCGTACGGTGAGCCTGGTGGGTTCGGGGACGGTGGATGGTGGGCCTGTGTCCACTAACGAACACTTGGACTAACACTGAGGCAGGGACCGCAAACCTCTGCCTGCATGCTTGCGAACAGCCCCGTTCTTTGACCTCGGAGGCAAACACATTCACCTTGGGGTCCCTGAGCGGTGCTGGGGCTCAGGCCACTCCACGCTGTTGTGTCAGGCTGGGAAGGGCTTGGGGAAGAGCAGGGGTGCACCCTGCTGGGCTCTCCAGCCCAATGACTGCTTGTCGCCCTGCGGGCTGCCTTTCACGCCGCTGCCGGGGTCCCTGCTGAGGCCGAGCTGGCAGGGCCCTGCACCCTTGTGGACCACATGAAGTTGTCAGGCTGGCCTCGCCCCGGTTATGTTCCCACCCAATTGGCCTCCCTCGTGGCTTCCGAGCTGCCAAGAAAGGTCCGCTGTTCGTCCACCACTAACACGGCCCCTCCCCTGGCTCCTGCTTTGCTGCCCGCCTGCTTGCGTCCCCTCCTCCTGGAGTCCCGCGCCCCGTGGCAGCGTCCCTGCTCCTGCAGTGTCCCTCGCTGCAGACCGAGAGCTCCCACGTCCCTGGCCCCGTGGACGCAGCTCACGGGGGGTGCTGGGGATGCCCCGCTGACCGCCCGCACCGCTGCTTCAGGCTTTCGAGAGTGCCATTCTGTTCGCTGACGCGCGCGACCACCACCAGGAGTTTTGCGTTCCCATTTGCGTCCTGCCGGCCACCATTAGCAACAATGTCCCGGGCACCGACCTGAGCATGGGCTCTGACACTGGCCTCAATGCCGTGGTGGAGGTAAGAGGGCCCCGTGGCTCCATCAGGCCGGACGCGGGGGTCCTTCTCTTCCCCACCTGATGCTGCGGAGGAATGAGCCACGGTTAGGATTCCTTTCGTGGTCCATTAGTGGGAGCTCATAGCGTAGGGAGAGCCTACCGCCCACTGTCTGCGGGAACGAGGACAGTCCTCCAGCGCTCCGGGTGATGTGTGTTCTTGTGCACCCCAAAACAAGAGGCCCTGGTCTCTCGTGGGCTGTGTCCAGTAGGCTTGCGCTTGTGCTCGGGGGGACGGCCAGCCCGGACGTGGTGTGCATGCAGGGATTTGGGGCCTGTGAGTGTGAAAGCTCCCGGGGGACGGCAGGCACGTCCGCGGCTTGGACACGCCCTTGGTTGTGCCGGGGGAGGCTCGGCTCCCGGGGAGGGCCCCCCACCCTCGGGGGTCCAGCAGGCCCCCGCACTGGGCACCGTCTGGTCTGCGGCGCCTGTGTTGGAGCCGAGGACTTCTGGCAGCGCAGCGGCGGGCTGCTATGGGGCGCAGTCCTCCCCCAACAGGGGGAGGGAAGTGGCCAGGGGTGGGCCGTGTTCTTGACATTCACGTCGCCTGGGCTCCAGAGACACCTGTTCAGCAGACGCCTGAGTCTCAGGCACATTCCCGTCCCAGAGTCCGCGGGCTCCTTCCTGTCTTCGCTCTGTTCTGAGCTCCACCTTGTCTTTTCACATGATTGAGTTTTTTAAAACGTGTGTGACAAAACGTTAGCAGTGCTGGAACCCGAACTCCCAAGTTTTGAGTCCAGTGGGGCCACGCGCAGAGACCGTGCTGGGAGGATCGTGGGGCTTCCGCTGTAGACGTCGGTGCTCCCGGTTCCTCCCTGTCCCCCAAAAGGCAGAGCACCCCTCCGTGTGCCCCCAGCGCGGGGTGGGGCTGCTGTCCACGCTGGGGCTTTGTCAGTGCTGGTTTTAGTCCCTGAGGGGCGCGTGGCTGCAACTGCTGGATTAGGACCTGGTGCGTCTGGGGCGCACTGCCACCTGTCCGTCTCCCGGGGGCGGGACAGTGGCTGGAGCTGGTGCCAGAAGTGGGCTGGGCCGGGGAGAGGCTTGGCGTGTACTTGCAGATGTTATTTCCGGGCCAAGCCAGCAAGCACTGGACCGGAGTGGTTGTGCGGGACGGAGCCAGGTGAGGGCACTGTGGTCCCGGGAGCATGCACGTGGTCTGCGCCAGCGAGGCAGTGCAAGGCGGCGGCCGAGGGGTCTGCTGTTGCACCCCTGAGCCTGTGTCCCGAGCACGGCCCACGGCAGACGTTTTCTTAGGAGACCCGCTGTCTGAGCGTCTGGAAGACTGCGGAGGGCCTTTGTCGAGGAGCCACCGTCCAGCTCCGAAGAGAGCTGCCCTCAGGGGATGCAGTGTTTGGGGATAGACTGAGGGTGACCAAAACCCAAATGTCACAGGCAGCTTTTCAGAAGAGGCCAACCTAACAGACATTGCACTGAGCCCATAAAACCTCATGGTGCCCCCGTCCCGCGAGGGCACGTGGGCAGCTGCAGCGAGCTGGTCCCAGTCCCCCCGCAGTGGGCAGTGTCAGGACATGGGGACGGTGAGCACACCAACCAGGGGCAAGGGGGGTCGCCGCGGTCTGCAGCCTCAGTCTGTGTGCGTCCCAGCCTGGACACCCCCACGCCAGAATGACCCGTGTCCTTCTCTGTGGCCAGACGTGTGACCGCATCAAACAGTCAGCCAGTGGGACCAAGCGCCGCGTGTTCATCATCGAGACCATGGGGGGCTACTGTGGCTACCTGGCCAACATGGGGGGGCTCGCCGCTGGAGCCGACGCTGCCTACATTTTTGAGGAGCCGTTTGACATCCGAGACCTGCAGGTACGTCGATGCCACGGGGCCCTGGGTGACACGGTTGTGTCAGGGTGGTTGGCTCCGAGGGGAGGGCGATGGGGTTGACAGGACGCTGTCAGTAAGCCCCTCACCGAATAGTGGGGCATGAGCTGATGCACCAACTTCCCATTAGACCTCCACCCGCGGGTCAGCCTAGTGTCGTTGTGTCCGTGTGGGAGGGTGGCCGGAGCACATCCTACCTGGAGCCCCGAGGCCCGCCTGCTGGAAAGGCTGGGGGAGTGCACGGGGGAGTGCACGGTGCCCGCCGGGGTGGCGGGACCTGTGAGGTCACAGTGGGACGGGCTTAAGGCACTAAGAAAACAGAATCAAACTGAACGCCTGTTCTTTCTTGTTGCATGCTTCCTTTAAAGATTTTGTTTTTAAATTAACAGAATATTTTTTAGAGCAGTTTCAGGGTGAGGACAGAGTTCCCCTGCACACCTGGCCCACACCCAGCAACACCCCACCAGGGTGGGACCGTTGTCAGAACAGATGCCCCCCACCCCACGCTGATGCATCCTCAGCACCTGGGGCCACAGCCGACATCAGTGTTCCCTTTGGGATCCTAAGGCTGACATGCGCTTTTTCCAAATCGGCAAAGGTTTCTTGGGCCCAACTTTATGGGGGGCGGGTGGCCAATGCAGGGGAGTCGGGCTGCGCAGCCCTCGTGGGGAGAGAGGGGAGCTGGTGGGAAGGCTCCAGGGGGGCACTGAACAAGGACAAGCCTTAGTAAGACAAGACACAACTCAAACCCACAAAAATACAAATAAAACTAACTTTGTGCTGCTGACGTGCGCACAGAAACTTTAAGGTCTTTTTACGTTTCTGGACCACATAAATCAAGTAGAGACCTGCTTGATGTGGATTTCTTCACAGTGTGGAATTAAATATTTGTACTTCAGAAAGCCCCCTCAAGACCGTGCTCAGCGAGCGCATATCTCCGCTCCGGCACATGGACCCGAACCACTGTGAGGACGACTGAGGTTTGCTTACACGCAAACACCTCTGTTCCTTGCCCAGTGTCTGTGCTCAAGATACAGGATTCCTTTCCTTATAAACTCTGTACATGAATTCAAGTCTGTAACAGCTTCTCCTGGCCCCCAAATCCTTCTTAGGCAGTTAGGAGATGATGTACGACGTCAGGTACACCAGTTTTTCCTCTCTCGGGCAAATGAGGAGCGACAGACACCAGGTACACACAGGTTCAGGGCACAGATTATGTGAATTCGTGATTTCAGAGGGAAAGCTATTCCATGGTGGAAAGCGTGCTGCAGGGAAGCTGGGTCCCTGGACGCTGTCCCTGTGCCCAGTTGAGCGGCAGCCCTCCCAGGCCGAGTGCGCTGCCTGACCTTGTGTGCTGGTCTGTTCTGGTCCGTGTGCACCCCCGGTCTGCGCTCGCTGGGCGCTGTCCTCTGTGCCACAGTGGGAGCCCTGACGCGCTCCGTGCCGCGTGCGTGCGGCACTAGGGTGTCACAGCGGCGGGCACCGGGTCCAAGTCTACCGTCTGACGGACTAACAACGCTCTTCCCTAGTCCAACGTGGAGCACCTGACGGAGAAAATGAAGACCACCATTCAGAGGGGACTCGTGCTCAGGTACGGACACTCGTCCTCGCTCACTGAGCCCGAGCTTCCCAGATGACCCGGCCACAGGGTCGAAACACTCAGGGGCGGTCATCACTCACCACTGAAGAAATAAAGGAGGGGCCGTTGCGTGCTGCGTCAAAAACAGCATACGTTTACATAACTCAAGGGTATTTTGGAAAAATTCACTTTTGCTTTGTAGTTTTTTGTTTTGTTTTGTTTTTTAAAGATATCACCAAGTCATTTCTTTAAGCCACTGGCATTTCTAAAGAACACGTGTAGTCCCGGCGGGCACGGGCTGGCTGCGCATCCCGCCGGCGCCCTGACCCCGCGTCTCCCCTTGCTGCAGGAACGAGAGCTGCAATGAGAACTACACCACGGACTTCATCTACCAGCTGTACTCTGAGGAGGGCAAGGGCGTGTTCGACTGCAGGAAGAATGTGCTGGGACACATGCAGCAGGTGGGGCCTGGGGCCCGCACGGCACTCAGCAGGCGCCGTCCAGGAGGCTCTATGTAGATGGATGCCTTATTTTAGTCATAATGGGGAAAAATGTGTGCTCATGAGATGTTTTTAAACATTTTGGCATTTACTTCCCTATGTTATAGTTCCATGTTAGAGTCATACCAGATACCACCAGCTTTAGAAATTGTGTTGGGGTAGATGGAAGACAATCAATGTTCAATGTTGGAAACGCTGACTGGAAAAACCTAATCAAATGAAGTACTTCATTCAGTACTGCACCTTAGTAACTATCTACACATCAAATGATACTTGAGATTTGCACAAAATCGGAATGGTCTGGAAGGAATCTTGGGGTGTGCTTTGGTTTGCAAGCACGTCCCACATGACAAAGCCGGAGACCGGTGTGGATTAGGGCCGCAGCACGGGAAGGCATACCTGTCCTGGTCCCAACACTACCTCCTCTCCCCCTCCCCCCCTGCTGTCTTAGGGTCTTTAACTTAGGGTCTACTCCTCCATTCCAAAGGGCCCGTGCGCATCTGTGTATTTTTGTGGGAGCTAGCCCACAGGGTTGGTCAGACTCTTAATGGAAACTGTGACCTGCCCCACCCCAAAGTCAGACTAAGACAGCCGATAGGAGATTTGAAAATAACGAAGCTGCAAGTTGTGCAGCTCCACGCAGGGTGGGGGTGAGCACTGGGAAGATGGCCTCACACACTGTGCTCTGGCCGCAGGTCCCAACTACATACAAACAGGTAAAAACACGCAAGAACAAAAACACAAAACCCCCCAAACCCTTATTTACAGATCCTGAATCTCTTAAAAGTATGATGTGCATTTTGTGAAGGACTCGTACCTTTCAGGGAATTCTGACAAGCTGTGTCAGTAACCTCTCCTGTAATTCTGCCCGCCCACAGGGTGGAGCGCCTTCACCCTTTGATAGAAACTTTGGAACCAAAATCTCTGCCAGGGCCATGCAGTGGATCAGCACGAAACTGAAGGAGGCTCCGGGCAAAGGTAGGGAGCTGGGCGGGGACGGTGCTCGGCGGGGGGGGGGGGGGGGGGAAGCGGGCGCACTCAGCCTTGAGCTGCCCGCGCCACGCCCTTTGGCCCCATGCCGCAGTTGCTATATGGCTTTCAAGGCTGTCATTCGGAATGATCCTAAAAGGCAGTGCTTTGCTCCTGCTTGTCGGTGGCGGGAGGCGCTCTGTAGTCCAGTGCCGTCTTCCTTGAATTGAGCATACTGCCCATATACTAGGCTCCTCCAGCAGGACCCTAGATGTGACCTTCCCTTGTCTTTTGCACACTCTGAACTGGCCTTGACTTCGGACACCTAGGACTTACGGATTCTTCATGACCTTTCTTTTCAGAGAAAACCGGAACTGGCAGGTGTCGGGACGGCTTGCTCCTTCCAAACCTAGCCTTTCTTTCTGCACATTTCCCTCCCTCCCCACCAGAGGTGGCCTCGGAATTGCACAATCATTCTGCTTTCCCCTAGTCCTGCCACCTCGGGGACACCTTCACAGGCCCCTGTGGTTTACGTGAATGGAAGCCAACAGTGTGCATTTCCCTTTGCTGGGGTGTTGGTGTTTACCTGGCTGGTGTTCCTGACCCCTGGCCCGCATTCCGGCGTCCCCAACCACAGGCTCACCCGCAGGGCATGCAGTCTCCTTGGTCCTGCCTGGGTGACATGTGACCTGTCCCTGTGGGGCTGTCGCTGTGATGGGGGCAGTTCCACTGTGGCTTTGAGGCGAACCTTCCAAAGCGAGGAGGGGAAGCCAGCTTCCCTCGTGCTTCCTTCAGGGTCCCACTGTTTCCCTGAGGTCTTCCAGTATTTTGCCGGCTTTTCTGTTGCTTAGTAACACTTACCTTATTGACATATATTTTTTGCTTTGACATCATTGTATAGATTTAAAAATGTTTTGATGACTTTACAGAAACTTGTTTTACTTTATATTCTAGGAAATTCTTCTATTTCATATTCTGCCCATCCCATGTTGCAGGCAGGGCTCTTGTGGGGCTTGTCATTTTGTGCAAGGCACCTCTCCTTAATCTTTAGGTAGACGGTTTACCTTCTCCTTCATGGTTTGAGCTCCTTTGCTAAAACATTTTTACATTTACTTCTTTGATCCACTTGAAGTCTGAGGCCTGATTTCTTGTGGATAATCACTTGGGTGCCATTATTTGAGAAGTCTCTAATCTCCGTCACAGACCAGGTATCTGAAGTTGGCGGGACATTCAGTTAATGATCCTCACCAGTACTCCAGCTTTACAGATGATTTCTGATAGCTGGAAAGGTGAGGCCCCTCTACCCTGGACTTCTTTTGGTTTCTGCTATTCTTGGTCCTTTGTGCTGTCACAGAAATAGAATCAGACTGTCACAGTCCACCAAAAACTGTTGGATGTTTTGAGGGAATTACATTTAATCAAATCATTTGGGGGAGGAACTGATTTTTAAAAATATTTTCTAATTCATGAACACTGTATCTCCACATATTTAAGCCTTTCCTTATCTCTTATGAAAGCATAAAGATCTTGCAATATCTTTCGCTAAGTTTATTCCTGACTCAATATTTAACAAAATGTTATTGTAAGTATATATATATTTTTTACTTACTGCTGGCATACAGAAATACAAGTTTTTTGTTTTTTTTTTTAAAGGTTTTATTTATTTGACAGACACAGCAAGAGAGGGAACACAAGCAGGGGCAGGGGCAGGGGCAGAGGGAGAGGGAGAAGCAGGCCTCCCGCTGAGCAGGGAGCCCGATGCGGGGCTCAGTCCCAGGACCCTGGGCTCATGACCTGAGCCGAAGGCAGACACTTAACGACTGAGCCACCCAGGCGCAGAGGCTGCGTGCAGCTCCCGGGGGAAGGCACTGGGTGGCACCACTCTCAATGCCCCACCCCACCCCCACCGCGACCTCACTGCAAAACCCAGCTGAACGTTCTTTGCGCTTTTAGCCTTTTTTTGTAAAGGCCCAAAATCCTCTTTGGGTTTCTCTGTAGCTAAAAGAGGTCCCAGTGCAGGTCTTTCGAAAAAGCATGGGGGTACCTGTATACACCTTTGCAGACCTAGGTGGGCACGCGCATTTGCCATAGCTGATTAGCGGCTGTCAAGCCCAAGCCTGCTTCCGTGCGCGGGCTCCTGGACAATTTCTTGTGATGGCCTCTTGCTGCGGCGGCTTCCCCACGTGTCCTATCCCTGTCAGGTGCAGGGTGCGAGCTTGCTCTGGCTTTGTATGAAGTCCAGGTGTTGGGGAGGGGAATTCCCCTCAGGGACCAGGACACCTCCTGCTTCCTTTGTGGGGGGAGTGGGCTGTGGAGTTTCCTGAAGTTTACAGAAAGAGCAGTTTTGTGAGTTCTGTTTTCTAGGAAATCTTCTGGTGCCCGTGGCACTTTAACCCCCTTTACTGCGGACACCTGACCTCACCCCCGTTTTCCTGACCAGTCTGACCAGACCTGTGTCCGTTTCATTTCCAACCTTTGACTTAAAAACAGCAAGGCCAATAGATCCAACCTCATTTTAGTCTTCAGAGAGCGGACTCTGGCTTTGATTGTTTCTACTTTCGGTATTTTCCCCTTCACCTGAGGATGCTCATCTTACCTCGCGGCCGCCCCGTCTGTGCGCGCACGAGCCTCGGCTTCCGGAGCCGGCTCTGTGAGGGCAGCCAGTGACACCCTGTCTACCCACCACCGAGAAGCACGCACCTTCCTTCCTTAGCTCTGGGGGCGAACTGCTAAGCGCAGGTAAACCCGCCCCTCCTGGGGGGGAGTGTGCAGGGCGAGGGGCCGCGCCAGGACCCAGGCGCCCCCTCGTCCCTGCCCTCCCCCGCTCTAGCCCTGTGGGGGCTCAGCGGTACCGGAGCCAACAGCCCCCGAGGAAGCACAGTCGTGCGCCGGTCCCCTGGGCTTGTTGCCCACCCCGTCTGCAGGCCCGGAGCGCGCAGGGGCCTTGCCTCCTGCCCAGGCCATCCGAGCTCTTCTCTGCCCCCCAGGATTCTGCTCCGTGCTGTCGGCAAACCTCCTTTTCTCCCCACACCTCTCCGCCTGTCCTCAACGTGACCAATGATTTGTTCTGACATCACTCTTTCTCTTACAGGAAAAAGATTTATGAGCGATGATTCCATCTGCGTGCTGGGAATAAGCAAGAGAAACCTTCTTTTCCAACCTGTGGCCCAGCTGAGGCAGGAGACAGACTTTGAGTAAGTAAATAAGCCCTCGCCGGTCTACACCTCAGTGCCGGGGCAGGAGTGCGGGACAGGGCAGAAGGCCGCCGCTGCGGGAGGTACAGGCACAAATCCACTCTCACAACCTAGAAAACACAAGCCTTTGAGAAGTGGGAGGATTTCTAGAATCACACAGAATGGTTTCCAGTAACTTAGGAAACTGCTTGATCCTCCATCAGCCCCCGACTCCACGAAGCCCGTCCTCTGGGACGAGGCCGTCCTGACTGCTGCTTCCTCCTGACCCACAGGCACAGGATCCCCAAAGAGCAGTGGTGGCTGAAGCTGCGGCCGCTCATGAAGATCCTGGCCAAGTACAAGGTCAGCTACGAGGTCTCCGACTCCGACCAGCTGGAGCCCATGCACCACCGAGGCCACGAGGAGCCTGCCGCCATCTAGACGCTGCTGGACCCGCCCCGCCCGGCCAGCGCCGCTCCAGACTTCCGTTTACCACCCATTTTTGTAACACTTAAGTTATTTATCGGCACTTTGATGCGAGTACTGTTGATGTTAATGCCTAGTCACAGAGACCCCGTCCAGTGTCCTTCATCCCCAGGGGACCCTAAAACTCCAGCACGAGCTGTCGGCTGTGTCTCCTACTGTGTCCTGCTTTAAACTGTGCGTAGCCAGTAGAATTAAACATTTAGCTCAAACTCCAAATGTGGTTCTCTGCTTTTTTATGTAGGAGTTTAAATCCTCAGGATCTGGGCAACTGTAAAGGTTTTTCCAGCAGTTTTGTGGGCAGGGATCGACACGATGTACTGGCAGCAGTGAACTAGGCCCTATGCAAGGACAAAGGCTCCGCTCTGCCACACAGTAAAGGTGGGACTTGTCGAGTGTACAGAGTCGGCCCTAGATCGGGACCCGAGGACACCAGGTGAGGTGACCCAACTCCTTCTAAAGTGATGCCAGGTGTGGAGTTAAAAACAGAAACCAGCAACATGTGCGTTAAGAACAAGGTCAGCGTACACGCAGGATTTTGCGCCTCGCGCCCGCTGAGCCCCAGACCCTCCTACCGAGGAAGCACGGGCCTGTGTCTGGTGGGGCCCGCAGAGCCCTGCTTCACTGAGGAAAGGGAGCGAGCTGACCTACATCGGTGCTAAGTGAACAGCATTTCTGCCTCTTCTGTCGTCTGAGACGTACAGAGAGCTGGAGGGTCACAGCCAAGGTCTGTTCAGAAACCGAGAATGGCACGGTCAAGGAAGAACCAGCACAGACTGTGCTTTCTGTGGGAGATCCGAAAGGACACAGAAGCTCCCTCCCATAGAAACCATGGCAGAAGCATAATGCACTTATAATCCGTCAGGCTGTCCATCTGTTCCAGACTGTTCCACACGTCCGTGGTGTGAGTGCACTGGTTTTATAAATCAAGGCACCTCAGGTACCTTTGTTCACTTATTTTTTAATAAAGGCCCCAAGAATTACTCCAGCAAAATGTCACTTAAAATGACTAAAGCACAGGTAGGTCAGGGCAGAGCGGTTTTTATTTTTAAGTTTTTAAAATAAATGCTCCAGAATTAGTAAGGTAGAATAAGCGTTTATGTCATCAATATTTTAAAATTATAATCTGTGCAACTCTAGCATTTAACGCATGATTATTTCAATTTCTTCTAAGACAGAAGAGCCTGGTCTGACCAAGAATGAGGTCACACAAGAATGAGGTACGAGCAAAATGTGGGGGGAAACAGTAACTTTTCTTTCCTTTCAAAGTAAATTAGCTCAGGCTTCATGTTGAGGAGCCCCACATGCCTGTAGGTTCGGTTGAACTCCTGAGCGCGTCAGAGTTACTCGCTATTTTATTATCCACGATGGGTCCTTAGCGATTTTTGCGTTCTCTGGTCCAAGCAGAGCCAACCCGTGTGTGCTCTTCCCAATGCCGAGGTACCTGGAAAGCAGGCAGGGAGACATCAGGACTGCTTCCCACATTAGGAGCCTGGGGCAGCCACGGGAGGGCTCTGAACACTAGGCCACGGGGTACGTACTTGTTGCTCACGTCGATGAGATCCTTGTGGCTGACGGCGAATAGCTGCTCCCGGTGCACCTGCTTCATCCCATCCGAGAGGCCACACAGGAAGTGGTCCAGCCCTGACCGTGAACACGCTAACTCAGGCCAGCTGACCAGGGCGACGAATCCTGTTCTAAGGGCACCCGAGGGACACACTTCCACCAGAGGTCACACTGTTGACCTTCACATGCCCACCAAGCCGCTCCCCTCAGGGGTGGAGGCCAAGTCAGAGTGGCTCCCTCCCCCAGGCTCGGGCCTCAGATCACTCAAGAGTCTGAGAGCACAGAATGCCGCCCTCTGCGCGTGGCCAACACCGAGAAGCTCTGGCTCAAGGGGGACATCTGTGCATCATAAAGGAGGACGGAAGAGGGGTACCGTGGCAACACCAGGTTATCAGGTGCACTGTGTTGTTCACTCCAAATACCTCTGTCGGAAGGAGCCACGGGGGCGTCCACGACGGAGAAAACGGAAAGCTTTGCTTCGTCAATGTCCTGCTGTGTGAACCTCCCAGCCTTAGCCCAGTCCACAGCCTTCGAGAAAGACTGCAGCGTCTCTGTGGAACGTGGATCCCTAGGAGACCAGAGAGACCCATGCCGACCTACTTCACCACCAGATTATTAAATACACCTCTCTGATTTTGCGAAGAGAGATCAGGTGGACAGGGAAGATGACTCATGGAGAGACGCTAAGAATGGCTGAGTAAAACCCCTCACGTCCTTAAGACACACCCGGACTAGACGAATAGCCCCCCGTAAAGGGTCCCGAGAGCTCGACGCCCTCGGGTCCTGCTCTGTGCCTAGCAGCACGTGCCCCGCAGCGGGCACCGAGGGCGGGGTCACAGCCGCGCTCCCGTCCTTCTCTACGAGCACGCGCACGCCCTCCCAGCGCCCAGGCACGTGCTGAGGCGGGAGTAGGGAGAGACTGCATCAGAGGGGCAGCAAACTCATCCTGCCCGCAGAGTATCCTAAACAGTCTGTGTCCCCGGAAACCTTCTAAAGAAAAGGGGCGAGAAGCGTCAGGGCCGTGACCATGAAGCACGCGTCTCCCACACTGCGCCCCTGTGCTGGACATGAGCCCAGAAAGCTCTTGGCCTGTCTCCTCTGTAACTGAATCTGGGTGTTTGGTAGAGGGCGTATTTAAGCCAAGTCTCTCATTATGTATTACTGCTCCTAGACACGGACAACCGAGAGGATGCTGCTGGGTGTGGTGACGCGCTGAGGAAACGAGAAACGGGGGGAAACACTTCTGCAAAGGCTGGTCCCAACATGTAAGACAGTGACCCGAGGATGCTTAGCGGAGCCGGGGACATGCGGCGCTCAGACTCACCGGTATGAGTAAAGTGTAAACACCCCGTCACGGCTGAGTCTGGCGCCCCCACCATAAGCACCACCCTTTTCTCGAATTTCTGTATGCAAGAATTTGGCAGTCATCAAGCGTGCAAGGATCTTAAGACTGAAATGAATGATTAAAAAACACAAGTTAAAAACCACAGGCCTGGCAGGGAAGTATCGGATGTAACATAATCACGTACTTGCTGTCTTTCTTAGGTGAAAATTTGCTGTCTTACATGAGGTGAAAACAAAAATACACTAAGATACACTCTGGTTTTCCCTTTCCTAATGAACGAGAACAAACATGAGGAAAAAAACGTAAGATGAATTTTCAAACGAGGGTTGTGGAGAAAGGTGGTGAGGGACACGAAGGTCCCTCAGACACGTTTAGGCCCTTCCTGTCTACAGCACACAGGGACACTACTGACAACCTGATCAAGGAACACATTACTAAATTTTATCGCTCAAGGCAAATGTACAAACCATCCTTTCTCTAAATCCCCCCACTGGTGTGCGCACGGGTGTCTCTACCGAAACACGGAGAGCTCTTAACCAGATTTCTGTAGGTATCCGCCCTAAGAAAACACACTCCAACAGAATGACCTTCTGAGTCCTACACTCACGATGGAAGTGCAGTTATGGCGGTTGCCCTGGAAGAGAAACGGAATATTCTAGCAAGTACCTTCACAGGACAGAGAGTGGGGCCCTGCTCGCTCTCCACTGACTGGTCTAAGTCCAGACACTAACTGGAGGCGCACACAGGTGTCCCCGGAAGACGGTGGTGGGGGAGCTGCTCATATCGTGGGTTTGCAGTGCCGGACCCGTGCAGACTGGCGCCCCACTCCCAAACAGGGACTGAGGGGCTTACCTGCCACATACTTCTGAACATTCTGAATTACATAAGGAACATAAGGTCACTGCTGGAAAATTATAAAATACAAAGAAAGGGGGAAAAAAAAATCAATACTCTTACTACCCAGGGTCCTTCTTATAACCTCTCCATGCTTTAAATCTGTTTAATGGAATACATATCCGTAGTCTGCAGGGCTCCGCATAACAGAACCCATGTTCGTTTCCCAGGAACATGGTAACAAACTGGCCACACTGCTGAACACCATCCTGTGAGTCTATTTCCCTCATGGAAATGTCCTTTCCCTTGAACCCAGCAGCAGCCTTGCGTGTCTGGGCCCTGTGTACCCACCGGCCATCCCTGCCCTCCGTCCCCTTCCTGGGAAGCCCCTGCCCGCCCCTGGCCCCGTACCTGGCGTGGTCCGGGTCTGCATAGGGGGCAGTCCTGATGCATTCGCCCACGTAGTTCACTGGGAACGGAAGCAGGAAGTGCGTCTTCATCTGGCACGGTTTGAAGGTGGGGTCCTGAGGAGGACAGGCCGGCTGTATTGGCTCCTCCCACGGGCTGCCCCCCCCCCCACTCGCCCCCACTGTCATCAGGTGCTCCTGGCGAACGGCAAAGCACTGGCGATCCTGTCGTTCCACACAAGTGCTCACTTTACGATGGAATACTTCAAAATATAGTTCCTCAATTAGAAACCTTTCTTCCTACAGGGTTTCCATCCATAAGTGACGGTGTGACCTCATCTTTGCATTTTCCCCCCCGAGATATGTTAAATCGCCATCCTCTGATGAACCAAACCAAGAGCCATCACCACCAAAGCAGAGCAGGGAGAAGGGCGCACGGTGCCTAGCTGATGGTGACACCCCCGACTCGGCAGTCCGCCGTGCAGGGTGAAGGCATGGGGAGCACAAGGGCCCCGGACAGGCCCGGGGCCTGCACCCCTGCCTGCAGGGGAGAGGCCCCCATGGTTGAGGCACTGGCCACCCCACACGTGACAGGGCACAGATAAGATGGGAAACCGCTCCTTCCAAGGGGACAGGGACTATGCTTACTTACCACGATCAGCTTCCTTATGACTTGGGGGCAGCTAACGAGGGTGCTTCCATTGGATCCACTGGGTGCAGGTTTCTGAAAATAAAATGTTTCCAAGAGAAATGAGAAAAATCCCAAACTCACCTTACACGGCTAGTAACAAGTGTCGGGACACACATGCTTACGTGTTTTCAGTAACACTATCTGAAACAAAGGGGATTCCTGCGCGGATTTCCAGACGGTCAGGGAGAAGCATGAGCGGGCCACCTTCTCAGGGGCTCTGCCCCCTGGAAGACAGGCCTGGGCTGCCCGACAGGTCGTGGGCGCACGAAGAGCAGGAGGAGAGAGCGGGAACGGTCCCTCTCACAGTCTATGGACTGTGCGCCCTCCCCGGGAGACGGTTTCTGGACTGTCCTGGTGACCTACACGAGAGCCGCTC